TGGTAACTTATTAAATACTCACAATGAGCCGAAGAGGTAGACACCCATTTTCCAGACAAGGGAAGCAAGGCTGAGTCACAAAGAGATATTACTTAACTCGCCTCTCTGTAAACCCCGCATGGTAATGAGTGACTGAGAATCATACATGTCCATTGATGGTGACAGAAGCTGAACACCGGCAGCTTGGATCTGCACAGAAAGGTGGCAGTGACCTGAAAAATGCAAGTCCAAACATACAGCTGTGAATGTTTATCTCGGAAAGAATGCAGACAAAGGAAGAGTGCGAAATTTATTCTTATGGGCAAAGTAATACTGAGAAAAATAAAGGCACTGGTGAACATTTAAAGAAGATAGAGGGAGAATTTCTTGAAATTTTTACTAGGCACTCAGCAGTTATTAGGAATGAAAAATGTGGCAGTTGAAATTGAAGTGAGGCTAGAAAGACTGTATATCTTTATCTTCTAAAAGAGTTGGTTGATTAAAGCCTGATTTAAAATAACAAAAGTCAGTGTTCTTAAATTTCATCTTTCTAGTAGGTTTGCTTTAGCTTTGTTTGTTTGTTTGTTTTCAGCATCTGAGATAATGGAAGCAGAGTAGACAACCAGGAATTCAGAGTGGTAGTCAGTGCAGTATACAGGTGAAGACAAAGTGTGAAAGGTGAATTCCAACCAGCAGGAAATATTTTTGTCCATGAATCTTCTCAATGACTCACAGCCTCCCAAGGAAACAGGATGAGTTAGATTGCAGAAATAATAAAGCAGTTGTTTGATTTTCCCCTCTCCAGTAACCATTGGCAGGGAAGGAAAGGCAGTAGCTATTGAAAATGAAGCGTTGTATAACTGGGTCATTGAACAACTTAATTGTTTTTAATTTATATTAGAAGTTGCGAGCTCAAACTATGCATTGCATGCAGTATTTTCCATGACATCTCACTCTTAGAGCTATGAATCTTGGGCTTTTAGAAACTTTTAAAGAAGTCTGGTTTTACCCCTCTTATTTTGGAAAGAAGAAAAATGGAACCCAGAAGTACTAAATCTTACCAATAAAAAGCTGATTGAGGGCCTCCACTGGTGGCGCAGCAGTTGAGCGCTGGGCTGCAAAGCTGTCCACGCCTCTACAGCGCCAGTTCGATCCCCGGCCACCAGCGAGAGTCCCACGTGGTGGGCAGACCTCTCCTGCCTCCCGCTGCTCCTCTCGGCAGTGTATTTCATCAGTATGCCTGTTCTGTTCCCACTCTGGCTCTGGTGAATTCTCTCAACCCTCCTGCACTTCTGACTGTGCCCAGTGCTTGTATAAATAAATAAATAAATAAATAAATAAATCTTTTTTTTTTTTTTTTTTTTTTTTTTTTTAAAGCTGATTGAGTAAGCCACACAACTAGGTCTGGAGTATCATCTTCAGAAGGCCTATCTGGTCATCTTTTTACAATACCATTTATCTGAAAATAATTGTAAATATTCTCAAGAACCAATAATCAGTGAAGAATTTAATAACATAAAATGTTTATGTTATTCTAATACCTAATTGCCTAATAGACTTTCTGAAGATAAGAATATGAATCAAAATTCTTATAAAATTTTCAAGAGGGAACAAATTAGATTTTAATATGGATTATCTGTTCTGTAAATAGAATAAAAAAGCATTGAGTGTGATTGTTAGAATTTGTAATCCTATAGGCAGCTTTCTCTAGGTGTCATTAAGTGTTACCAACAGCTTTAAAAGGTTGGGGGTAGGGAGAAGAGGAGAATGACTTTTTAAAAAAAATACAATGAAGTCAGTATGCTTGCTTATTAGAGAAAAGTTCTCACAGAGTTGGTATCAGAGGTCACCAAAAGTAGGGTTAGATGTGTATGATTTAGGGAGGGGGTTTGTTTACAATTCCAGTGCCCAGAACCACTCAGTGCTGTCAGCTCATCTTCAGGAGCTCTTGAGAAATCATCCTAAAGGTGATCTTTTAACTGAAGTGTGTAACAGAACAGGAGAACAGGTTAGGAAAGAGCTTCTTAAGTACTATCTGTTTGCACACATACAAAGATAGACAAGGCATTGAGAGGATGAAGAGTTACCACAGAAAAAGTCTAGCAAAGGAAATCAGAGGTAACTTGGGTTAAAATTCAGAGATGAATATTCAGAAATGTTGAATGTTCCAAAAATAGCAATAAGGTTTGGGGAAAGCTGAACTCATTTTTGGACACTAGCCATGTTTGAGTTTCTTATCATGAACTAGTCAAGAGTGAAAGGCCAGCTTCTGCACTTAATATATGTTACTTGTGATTAATCTGCAGTCTGATCTTTCTCGCTGCCTCTTAATCTCCAGCAGGATCTCTTTTGGCAGCTCACCTGGCCTCTTTTTGCCTCTGTCTCCCCTTGAGTATAACAACAACTATCTCATAGGGCAGATTAAATGATTAATACAGTGCTTAGAACAGTCCAGTGCATAGTAAGCTGTAGATGTGTTGAATGTTGCTGTTGCTGCCATTACAACTAATAAAATTTATACAGTCGTATGTGTTTTTCCACTTGTTTCTCCTGAGCAAATAACATAGAACTGAAACATATGTCTCAATGGATAATACATGTTGGCGGCTGGTAATGACATAGGATCCTGTGGTCTTCCAGGAATAGTATATACATTGCACTTCTGAGAGAAGTTGCTTTCATGGATTTCTTAGGAGAGTTCCCTTCCCTACCCTCCTGGCATGTCTCAAGGCAGGTGCTCTTCTGAGTATTGGGAAGGACAATTGTGTTCATCTCCCTTTGGCCTGCGCCGTCGCAGAACTGCAGACCTGAGCAGGCACACCAAGAGGAAGAGAGTTGATTCACATAAGTGAGTTTCATTAAGCTACTATAACCCATGTTGTAAAAAAGGACCAGAACTTCACAGAGGAAAATAGAGATGCATTGCTAAAATGAATTCTGAGGATCACCTCCTAAGAAAAAAAGAGATAATACTTAGTGCATTTGCAAGAAGCTTTCACCTATGTTAGCTCATTTGGTCTTCTTAGCACTGAGGCATATGAAATAAAAATGAGACTTTCTTCCCCTTATTACAATTATCACAGCTAGGTCGACTCAATCTATTTACATTACTTGGGCATTTCTGACATCTAAAGATTGTATACTAACCTACAGTTTCTAAAATGACCTCTGCTGTGTAGCCATGTGTATTAAGCTTACAGCAGATAGGTACTCATGGGACCCTGAACGTGGCACATGATATGATATTATTGTAGTTTGGGGGATCTGCCCTACTTTGGGGAAATAAAAAGATCTGGCACCTTCTATTTAATTTTATAGATTCAAAAACCATTGAATGTCACTGTGGGCTTTGACTCGCTGAATATGTTGGTAACAGTGGGGTTTTGCTAACTTTAATACACCATTTTAAGAGAGAAGGGTTCAGCATTTACGCTACCAGTGTGAGCTATTTTATTAACAAGTTAATAATAATCAGGGCTGTTCTAAAAACTCATCAGATTCTCTACACTCTTTAAAATCATGGAAGTGTAATCCAGTCCAGCTTCAAAGCTACTGCTGTGACCTTTGTCCAGTCATCTGGCTTTACAGTTTCCACATGAAATTCACTCAATTGCCTGAGTCCCGAAACCAGTTACTGCCAGCTTTCAAGGCACCCTAAACCCTAAACATTTTTTGTGAAACATTTTGTGTTCATTTTTTGTGAATACTTAGTTTTGAAATTACGTTTCTTTTGCCTTTCCCAAGTAGACCTGCCTAGGAGATTTTGCTTAGAGAAAGTTGTGGGCTCTTTTTTTTTTTTTTTTTTTTTTTTTTTTGAGGTACAGTACAGTACAGGACTAAAATTAAAAACCCCATCTTGATACCACTATCTCTGGATTCTGACACCAATAAATAGATGCTAAAGCAAAATAGGGGGTGACTGCTTTATTGTCAGATAGCAGCTATGTATGCTGGGCCAGCACTTCTCTAAGGTGACATGAGGAGAGGATATTAATTGTATAAGGTGCTATTTGAATGTGAAGCTAGAGAAGAGCTAAAAATGTCCTCATTAAGTCTGTTTGATGCCACAAATGACTTCTAGTTACAGAGATTTGCAAACATTCATGGATATCCCTGACTACAACATCACCTTCTGATGGACTCAGTGCTCTGATGGAGCAGAGGCCTGAGCACCCTGATACTCTGTGTGTGTGTGTGTGTGTGTGTGTGTGTGCGCGCGCACGTACGCACGTGCTTGGATCCACAAAATCCAAGTCAACTCTGGTGTCACAATGGTTTGTAAGACACAAACGGACTGGAGTGGTTCAGGAATGGCTTCCCAACCTCCTGTGTTTCAGTGCCCCAGAGCTCAGAGACATTCCATTTTCTATCCAAATACAAGATGTCACAGCATAAGGGTTGGGCCTGGGACTAAGTTTTGTTCCCTTTACTACCTTCTATTCATTTTTAGACTTTATTCTACCCCCTCATCTGAAGAGGGAACAACTAATGAAACCTTTCTTCAAAATTTATACTGTCTGCTGGAGTTTGAATAAAATGAACTGACCAATTCTAGTTAACAACTGACAGAGTCCTGTGGTCAGTTTAAAGGCAACTTTCCTTCTTGTGGATTTCATCCAGATGAATAATTCAGTACTATCCTCACTGTGACATAGGACCCAGAGATCCTTTGTTCACACAACAAACACAGTGCCTTTCTTAATATTACTGTGTCCCTGAAGGAAAACAGCTCACACCCTGGCGTGGCAAAGCCACCATTTAAATTCCCCTTGATATATAGTTTTGAAAATGTCCCCTTTGCCACACTAACTCAGACTTTAGCACTCTCTGTGGAAATTGATGGTCAGGAAGACCATTCTAGTGAAATGGGCAGTCCAATGAGTCAAAGCCAACATGTAAAGACAAAATCTGCATCTCACTGTCTCCTCATGGTTTGTGTAGACGCCCTAGAAGTCAGATGTGCTGGGGACCATCATGTGTATCTGTCTGGTGGTATATCACTTTGTGTTTTTCCTCTTTAGGACCAGGAAGAAAACAAGGGAGCAACAAGTTGGCCTGAATTCTACATCGATCAGCTCAATTCCATGGCTGCTGTAGGTATACTTTATGTTCTATGACACAGTTTAAAATGCAAGTCTAGTACAAAGCACACAATTGCATAATAAATTCACTTGAGTAAGAGCTACCAAATATTATCTTTACAAACTCCATTGCAAACTCAATGTTGGGAAATAAAAGAGGGCAGGAGTAGTACTTGGCAAAGTGATTTTTTCCAGTATGTTTTAAATAAAATCAGCACACACTAAAATATAAGTGAGTTTAATGTTATGAAAGGAAATGTAATCTTAAATCTGGCTTATGTTCAGCTCTAACTTGCAGTTGCTCTTACCAATCACTGGAGCTTAGTGATGCCTGCACAATTCTAAAAGTTACTGCCATTTAAAAATAATACCATGAAACAATTCCTTCCTGGTTTTTCTTTCATTCTCTTTCTTAATGAGGACTTACTTAGTTCCTGGGTTCTTGATTTTACAAGGCACCAAAGTGCTTTTTAACTCATATAAGTAACAGGAGTTACTGGAGTAAGCTGTTTAATGAAAAGACATAATAATAATGGTCCTCAATGTCCTTGAGAAATCTTTGGCGCATGGATTTTTGGTTTAGTAACTGCTTAAAATGCATTTACTAAAATATATGTTCTGATTACAAAGATGTCTCTGTGATGTCGGTGTTCTGAGCAGTTTTCGGGGTACCTATTGATCCCAGCTAAAATTTGCAGCAGAAAACAAGTCATCAACCTTTGAACTTACTGGCTTAAATACCGTTAATATTGATAAAAATTGAAGGTTGCCCACAATGGAAAGCAGTCTTTGCCTAAGTAGCTATACTCATGATTTTGAGAATCAATCTATTAGATTCATTTTGAGAGAAAAACCGTGAAGGAATTGTTTCAAGCAGATGCTAACTTCCATAGTATTTTTTTTCTACCTTTCTTTCCTGCCTTCCCCTGATTCTTTATTGAGGATTGTTTTCTTATCACTTAAAGCAAACATTTTAGATTATCTAATGTTTTGCTGCTGCTGCAGAAGTTAAAAACTGACTAGAGTATGTGAATCATTCACACTTGTGCTAAACTTTTAGAAGCCTTGACTTTTGGTAACTTCCTCTTTTTCTAGCATCTTCTTTAAAGGTGCTTCATCTGCTGTCACACAGTGAATAACAGACAGGATAGCAAATGTGAATAGGACTATATCAATTATGGAAGAAACTGCATATAAACTTTTGCCCTAAGCCTTTCTTTTTTTTATTTTTTACATCATTGTTCATTATTCAACAATATTTGCTTCCCTCCACCTCCTCAGGTGTAGTCCCCATAGAGTTTCCTTCACCAATGCACCAGTGCACCATCACCTCAGTCCCCTGTGCTCCTCCCTCCCTCCCTCTAATCCCTCTCCCTCCTCCTCCCCTGCAGTATACTAGAAGGAATTATGCTCAATGAAATAAGCCAGAAGGAAAAAGAAAAATATCGAATGGTTTCACTTATTGCAGGAGTATAGGGAAACCAAATAAGATATCAGTGTAAAAAAATAATAACAGTACAATACACAACAAAGCAAAAATGGACAATTATAAATCAGAGCCCCAAGCCTTTCTAATCTAAAAGCACAGCAGAAAATAACCACGAAATCCTCTTCTTATACAACGCATCTACACAATGGCAAAGATGAAAAAAGCGTGCGTGACCTAAGCATGTGTATGAATATGCTGACAGAATGTGAGATTGTGATGACCATCAGGGATTTTCTGTGCATTTGCCTAAGCTATAATATAGAACCATTTATATTCCCTGCATGTAAAGACTATTTTTCTGAATTCTTGTTCCTGGGGCGGCGGGGGGTGGGGGGGGTGGTGGGAGGTGTTGGCCAGGCCAGGGGAAGTGGGTGGGAGGGAATAGCAGTCTACAGTCAGGCTCTCTCTTTATAATTAAGTCAGCATTGTTTGATGTCTAACCAGGAAAGCTTCTTCTTTGTTACTGGATTCAATTCTATAAATGGAGAAGTACTAAGTACTACAGATTTTTCCTTTCTTCAAATTTTGAGGCAGTTAGCTTAATTTGTTCTTTAGTGACTTAATCCTTGCCTTCTATGGAGTGAATCTGGATTATTTCCTGCACTAGAGGGTCCATGATGGGCCGGTTACATGGCACTTCTTCAAGAACCTTTCTTGTGGAAAACCCTTTGCTACATTCATGAGTGGTCTACATTTTAATTATATTTGCTTCCGAATCCGAAATCCTTTCCAAGAATATCTCAAAGCTATTAAATTGTCAGTCTCTTTGCTATTCTTTATGTGTTAAATACCCAACAGTGCTTTCCAGTGCTGCTTTACCATCAAGCCAGCATCTCCCTAGGACTAAAGGTAGAGGGCATTAACAGTTCAAGGATTAATGAGGCTTCAGAACTCCTGCAGACATAAAGGAACAAGAAGACCTTATGAGATCAGAAACCATAAGCTGAGTTTTCTGTTTTTCTCGTCATATTTGTTGCCACCACCACCCCCTCCCATAGTTCTGGCTAATTTCTCTGATAACTGTGAGAGAATTCCTGATAACACACAGCAGACATCCTGAGAACATTGTCTCTGGGGACCAAAAAGGACATTATTACTCTAGATTGGCAACTAGACTCTTTGTCTCTTTGGTTAGGGAATTGTTGAAGGGACATTTATCCACACTGTCATCATTCATTGTCCTAAGCATCAATATAACTACTACTATGAGTGTCCAGCACATGAAAGGCAGTGTAACAGGCATTTCACATGTTGTAGATCTTTCCAAGCACCCTATGCAGTAAGTGCTATTTATAGATAAGGTCTCACACCCAGAGAAAGGCTAGTTTACCCAAGGTCATCTAATTAGGAGATGATAGAGCTGGAATTTAAACCTATCAGTCTAAGCTCAAACACCTTTTCAGTTTGTCTTTCACTCGCCTTGGTTTTTAAAACTCTTTGGCACATTAAAAGGGCCCGGTAATACCACCTCCACCCCAAACTTTTCTGGGGTGGGGCAGGCATCTGTTTTGTTTTGTTTTGTTTTTTCTCCAGAGTCTGATAAACAGTCTAGGCTGAGAACTGCAGCCCTTTTTGGTCTGTGAAGCTGTTTGTGGAACAAGTTCAGTTACTTCAATTAAGCCTCATAACAAGAATGCTTTGTTCTTAAAAGAACCCCTGGGTGATCAGTTGGCTTTTAAAAAGTGATGAACAGAATAATAAAATTGTGAAGCCCAACAAGTTCAAAAATAACCCAGGCTTTCTGTGTCTGTGTCTTCTCTGGGTACCCTCAAGGAGGACAGATGTAAGGTGAAGTCCAGTGTGTTCAGCAGGCTTGATTTCACACTAAGGAAATGTTTCAAACAGGAGCTTAGTTCCATGCTCCCAGCCAGAAATGAATTCCATGCCTCATCTATACATCTCTCTCAGACCTACATGTTTCACTCTTTATTCTCTGTCAGGATGCACTTTGTCCTTCACCTACTTTTCATGGGCACAAGGATATGCTAAGTGCATTGAGCACCCAAAGAAGTTGCCACAGGCCTGACCTGTATGTGCCAAGTGCAGACTTGATATTTGGCATTGTGGTCTTCTTCAGAAATACAGGCATATCCTCCTTTGCTGCCAAAACTTGCAAACTAAGTCTTCTTCCCAGTTGTTAAGCTTAAAAATGTAAAGGAAGTTACTTTATTTTGAAAAGTTTCTGTAGAACATCAGTTTCATCTGTATGTCCTCAGTGTTCTCATACAATAAACAGAATTTTAAATCCAAATCTATCTTATCACATACAGAAAAGTGAATTGTCTTCTGTTTCATAGGAAGGTAATGCTCCTTATACTGGGGAAATTAAATCCCAATTTAATTTTCTTAACATTTCCTAAATCTCCCAGCTCTACTTGGGATGTAATATAGTCTGTTTTATTCAGATGTTCCAGTCTCCATGGTCATTAACAGGATAAATGCATACACCTTTATTTAGTATTTGTGAGCCACAATACTATTTGTGTGTGGTCTTTAATTTTTGGGATAGTTTTGTGTGATTAAGCTCAGGGAAAAGGAGTGATATTCATAAAAGGCTTGATTCTGAGCTGCAGATTTAAAGTGATTGCTTGAGTCTAAACAAGTTCAGCTGTGTATAGGAGATTAAACATACTTGGCTGGATTTGTGCTGAATTTTCCAGGAGGTGGGTCTCAGAGCCATGAAGGAATTCATTGGCTATTTCCACATGCACTTTCTCCACCCCCAGTCTGCCTGTGACAGCTGTCTAGGAACATCACAGGAAGAGGACAGCTTTAGCAGAAGCAGTAACAAGTTTAAAAAACAAGAGTTTACTGTTTTTATTTCAGTTCCATAAATGATACCGACATATTCATTTGCCTTGCAGTTTACTCTCCTAATTGCAAAGTCAAATTTAGTCTTTAGTTAACTTTTGAGTTCTTAATACTGATACTGTTGACTTGAAAAATTAGGTCACTCAATGATTTGTGGTCCCGAAAAAAGGGGAGAGGCTAGATCACTGACACCCATGTGACACCCATGGATAAGAGCCAAACTTTCCTTTTTAACTTGCTTCCCAAAAATCCTTTCATCAGAACTAGTAACAAGAGGCCTCCCCAGTGGCGCAGTGGGTTGAATGCAGGCAGCACTGTGAAGCTGTCCACAGCCTCTGTAGCGCAGGTTCGATTCCTGGCTGGCCAGGGAGATTCCCACATGGTGTGGCAGACCTCTCCTTTCTCGCCCGCTGCTCCCCTCAGCAGTGTATTTCAGTCAGTCTGCCTGTTCTGCTCCCCACTCTGTCTCTGGTGAATCTTCTAACCCTCCTGAACCTCTGGCCTGTATCACAGCTCTTGTATAAAAATAAATATATCTTTAAAAAAAAAAAACAAACTGGTAACAAGTAAAAAGACTGAGACTACACAAGCACCTGTTCAAAGTAGGGTAAAGAGAGGGAAGCCCATAAAACCTCACTCGCACTCATGACAGCTTAATATTAACTGAGACCTGCTTCCTTACAACCTGATTTCTCAAAAGCCACACACCTGCAGCATTAGGATTGCCTAGAAATGAGTCAGAAGCGCAGCATCTTAGGCTTTGGTGAACACAGACATATCAAACAAGAGCCTAAATTTTAACAAGATCTCCAAATGATTCATCTCCACGTTAGAGTTTGAAAAGCATGGCTCTCACAGATCTCTGGGTGGCAGAGCATGTCTACACACACATGAACACATACATCACACTCATACATACATACATGCACTCCATATACTGGTTTCCAAGTGATATTAAATCATTTCTAAAGTTAAGCATTTATTCTGAGGGACTTGTCCACCTTAGTAGCAGATCCGATTTAATTGTTCCTCTTAAAAAAATAACTTGATGTAACAAAAAGTATAGAAAACTATTACACTTTTCAGCAGAGTCATAGGAGAGATACTGTGAGAGGATTGCAGCCACTTCAGTCTGATGGTTTGCTGCTGTAAATTTTAGTTTCCAGGATGTTCTATTAAACTACAGGTCCAGCCTTCTTTCTCTCAATTATAAATGGTAGTATCTTTATCAGGGTATAGCGATAGAACAGTTATACAAACATCTGGGCAATTAATCTCTACTAGTATTTCTAAGCATTTCCTTATAGCGTTAAGATTAAAAATAACTTATAGACGAGATAGCAGATTTGTATAATTCTTGATGCTTTTGCTCTACACTTTGGCTTATAGTAAATCTTAATCACAGATTTATTGATTGCATTAAAAGTAATGGTAGCACATAATCTGTAGGCTTGTCTGCTTATGCAATAATTGAAACAATTTGAAGAAATAACTTAAGTTTTCTTTACATAGAGAAAATCTCTGCTGGCATTAGAGAAAGAAGAGGAGGAGGAGAGAAGTAAAACTATAGAGAGTTTGAAGACAGCACTAAGGACAAAACCAATGAGGTAATTCCCCCCTAGGTAGCATGTACTATTTGTCTCTTCTTTTTCTTCTTTTTACTGTTTTCTTCTGTCCTTTCTTCCTCCCTTTTCTTCTTGCCTTCCTTTTAATGCATTCGTCAAGCTTTCAAGGAAATCTTAAAAGTATGCAGTTTAAATTGCAGATGAAATATTTTAGCCATGAATTTTCATTAAATCAATTTTCTTCAATTAAAAGACAAGGAGACAGTCACTAGCATGGTTAAAATAAAAAAGAGACTAGCAACTGTTGATGAGAATGTGAACAAAGTAGAACCCTCATTCATTGCTGGTGGGAATGTAAAGTGGTACAACCGCTTTGAAAAACAGTTGGGCAGATTGTTAAACATAGTGTTGCCATATGTACCAGCAATTCTACTACTAGATATATAGCCAAGGGAAATGAAAACATGTCCTCCCAAAATTTTGTGCGTGAATGCTCATATCGGTATTGTTTATAATAGATAAAAAGTGGAAGCAATCCAAATTCTATCTGATAATGAATGGGTAAATAAAAAGTGATATAGCCATACAGCAGAATATTATTTGACTGCTAAAAAGGAAGAAGCCAGACACAGAAGGTCACAAGTGATTCATATGACATGTCCGACATGTCCAGAAAAGCCCAGTCCTTAGACATAGAAAGATTAGTAGTTGTCTGCTGAAGAGAGGTGGAAATGGTCTTTTGGGGTCGATAAATTGTTCTGAGAGATAGTGGGAATAGGTGCACTACTCCATGAATATATGAAAAACCACTGAATGGTATACTTTAAAAGTATGAAGTTTATGGCATGTGAGTTGTATTCCAATAAAAGTGAAAAAAAGGGCAGACTTTCTGGCAATAGTGATTTGCCTCCTCTCTAGTAATAAGCTTCTGCTGTTTTCCTCCTGTACCTTCAATTTTTCCATTAATGCTTCTTTAAGTCTGGTGGGATGTGGGGTACTGATAAGAACATATTTTTTTAGCACAGTTGTTAAATGAAAGCCAACTGGTTTAATTAGTTTTATTATATCTGGATCATATAGTGGTTGGTTAAAATGACGATAAAACAAAGATTCCCTTCCTTTATTTGAATATAAAATGCTACTAAGAAAAATTTACTGATTCATCAATAACCCTTATAAATTATATATCTGGGATTTTCTAGCCTATTTTAACTAGATCAATGTTTTCTTCTGTGTATATATTCTGTATTCTCAGATGTTAATGGGTAGCCAAGGCTAAATAAATTCAGAAGTTTCTGAGTAGTCACTTAAAGTACCTGTAGGTAAGGTCATGTTACTTTTGAACTTTTCAGAGGCTTTCACATGCACTTTTCAATTGTGAACTATTTTCATTGATAAATTTTATAGTGAACAATAATAGTTACGGTAATAAAATATTGCTTTTTATCTGTTTTATATATTGGGAGCCAATGTATCATCATACAAAAGATGATTTTTCTACAAAATTGTAGAACTATAAATTATCATTTATTTGACAAGTAAATATCCTGGAGTTCAAGCATGTACTTTGACTGTCATTGATAAGGGGGTCTGCCTGAGTCACACTGGTCAACACATAAAAGTGCAGGGGGGCTGCATTCTACAGTAACACAGCCTCAGCAGATGACTTCAACTCAAGCCTATATGTGGGTTCTGAGTGTCTGCTTGTTGTTTATTTTCATTGGTCTATTCATCATAAAATATATCAGTTAAGATGTATTTACCTCAAATGGAAAGATCTTTTCACTCTTTCTGGTTAGAGCTGACCATTGGGTCCTTGCCAAGGAAGAGACCAGAAATTAAGAAGAATTCATCAGCAAAAACCTTATGGTACTTTAAGAAGTGTATTTCTCTTTTTTCTGTCCTGCCCCCTCCTCTGGACTTTTCCATCTAGATTATTACAAAATTTCAAAGAGGCTTAGTTCTGATACACTTTAACCTTCTTCTCATGACAGGTTTGTAACCAGATTCATTGACTTAGATGGCCTATCATGTATTCTCAACTTTCTAAAGACCATGGACTATGAGACCTCAGAGTCTCGAATACATACCTCTCTCATTGGATGTATAAAGGCGCTAATGAACAACTCTCAAGGTCGGGCTCATGTCCTGGCTCATTCTGAGAGTATAAATGTAATTGCTCAGAGTCTGAGCACAGAGAACATTAAAACAAAGGTGGCCGTGCTGGAAATCTTGGGCGCTGTGTGCCTGGTTCCCGGGGGTCACAAGAAGGTTCTGCAGGCCATGCTGCATTACCAGAAGTACGCCAGCGAGAGAACCCGCTTCCAGGTGAGTGTGCCTCCATGCTTTGGTTATTCCTCTGACAGGGGGAAAGGGAAGGGAGAACATAACTTGAAATTTCTCCCTGTGGTGATTACTCACCCCATGATTCCAAGCATCTCCTTTTTTCTTAGATTTTAGTACCGGAGAGTAGAATGTACTTTCTGCAGTTGATCCATCTGGAATTTTTGATTAACTGAACTTCAAAATGTGGCCCTACTTCCTACACAATATAGCACACATCTTCTGAAGCCACTAAGTGGAATGGTCCCTGAAAATGTTATTAGTTGCCATTCTTGATTCAGGATCAGTGTTAACAGTGATGTCACCATTTTTGTACCTGGCATACATGTACATACGACATATGTGATGTTAAGAATTTTGAATGTGTTTTTAAGTACTTAGATGGGGAAAGTGACTTTCTGTCAATCAACATTCTGAATAAAGTTTTTATAATCCTGACTCTAAAATAATGAATAAATGACTATAAGGTTGTTAATGATTCAGTCCTTTGTTTTTATGTTTGTATCCTTGATAGACCTTAATTAATGACTTGGACAAAAGCACAGGGCGGTATAGAGATGAAGTAAGTCTCAAGACCGCCATCATGTCCTTCATCAATGCCGTGCTCAGCCAAGGCGCAGGCGTGGTAAGACCCTTCTGTACCACAGTTTTAAGCATAATGTTATTAAAGAATAATGTTTAAAAAAAGTGACTGTAGTCAATCATAAATATATAATATATTTTATCACCCTTCCACTTTCAGGAAAGTCTGGACTTTAGACTTCATCTTCGCTATGAATTTCTGATGTTAGGAATTCAACCTGTAATAGATAAATTAAGGGAACATGAAAATTCAACATTAGATAGGTAAGTCAGACTATTATAACCTGAGAGAGTTCACACTCTTTCCAGCCTGTGAACTACCTTCTGTAATATAAGGAGCTGGGACCAGAATTTTAGTTCAGCTAACAATGGTTTTATATTAAGACTTTCTAAATGAAAGAAGCATCATGTTGTGTAGAGAACTTAGTATGGGTTTTCAGGTATTAGATCTGAATTTATAGCCTACTCCTGCTTCTTACTTTCTTTGTATTCTGGTCAAGTTACTAAATTTTTCTGATCCTTACTTTTTTTATACAGCAAGAAATACAATAATGATGGTGATAATTTAGGATGACAACTGTCTTTCAAGACTGTTATGAAATTGACTATACAATGTGTGGAATCACTTGACACCTTTGATAAGCATTCTGTAATTGTTAATTTCTACCTTCCTATTCATTTATTCTTGTCTGCAATCATTTTATTATTATCATACCCCACTAGTCCCAGATGTCTTCCTTCTACCTCTCTTCTCCCATGTTCATGCACTCAGGCATTTTCTTCTCCTTGATATTCTCTGAACATACCAAAATACTCTTGCCTCATTCTCATTGCACTTGCTGTATCTTCCCACAGATACCCAGATGGCTTTTTCCCTTGTTCCCTAACAAAAGACCTTTTCCAGCCTTTCTGCACATTAATCACCTCATATTTATCTTTTTCTATTCCCATTACCCCAATGTATTTTTCTTCAGAGAACTTAGCATCCCCTGTGTCTGCATTGTAGAGTGTGGCTCAGTAAATATTGGAATAAATAAGTGAATGATATGAACATTCTTCTGTGATCTTTAACACAGCAGCTAGTCAAATGTAGGTATATGAGCTTGTTTTTCTAGAAATGGAGTCTGTGAACAGACTAGATAATTTTTGGATTTGATAAACATTTATTGTCTACTAGAGGTAAGGTATCCTAGACTTTTAAATTTATCTCTTATTGCGATTTCATCTCAGCCAAATGATGGATTTCTTTTTTTCCCTTAGAAAAAGCATAGTTAAGCAAAGATTTTCAAATTGTGATGTCTTATTTATTTTAGAGATAATCCCCAAAAATTTAGGAAAGGCCTCAGTGTTAATGTCTTGACTCCTGTGTGCCTATGTTTGTAGGTTGTTCTGCTTCTAATAGCTTCTTTTTAATTCTCTCAGGCATTTAGACTTTTTTGAAATGCTCCGAAATGAAGATGAACTAGAATTTGCCAAAAGATTTGAACTGGTATGTGTGCTCACAGTTAGTCTGATTTGACTCACTAGTGCATGGAATTTCCCTGTGTGTGCGCTAGAGTAGACATGGACCAGTGTATCCTAAGAGCAAAACCAGAGTTCTGTTTTGCTACCTAAGTGGCAGGATTAGCTTCTGTTTGCCTTGGATTTGCTTATCTTGCATTTTGGGAACTGAGGACCTCAGGCATTTTACTTAGATATCTTTTTCATATAAAACAGGTTCACATAGACACAAAAAGTGCGACTCAGATGTTTGAGCTGACCAGGAAGAGGCTGACTCACAGTGAAGCTTACCCTCACTTCATGTCCATCCTGCACCACTGCCTCCAAATGCCTTGTGAGTGTGTTTGTGACTTACATATGTGATTTTGAATGTTTAAACATTGTGCACAGGGCTCTGTCTTAAGAACAGTGCTTTTAGTTTGGGTGCACACCAAGGGCTCCAGATTTTAGGGGTATTTGAAGTTCTCAAAATGAAATCAATTCCAACTTACTTTGTTTCAAAAAAGATATATGCCTTACAACACAGTTAGAAAGGGATAGTAGACGGTACCTCGCAATCAAATAATAGATCATTGCATGTCAGGATTTCAGAAACTTCGGGGAGCTTTGGTACAGATGGTGTAAACATTTCTCTGGCTTTCTGACTCTGGAGGGTGGTCACTACTGAAAAATACTGTCTTAGTTTAGAAACAATTTAAAGTTTTATTTCTACCATTCTTTTCTTTCTAGACAAGAGAAGTGGCAACACTGTTCAGTACTGGCTGCTGCTAGATAGGATTATACAGCAAATAGTTATCCAAAATGACAAAGGACAGGACCCTGACTCCACACCTTTGGAAAATTTTAATATTAAGAATGTCGTACGAATGTAAGTTTATTTTTATTTTACAGTCTATGAGAAGATAGTGACAATGTTGTTTATTTTATCCTACTTCAGATATGAGCTAGTAGAAGCTGAAATGTTCTAGCAATCAAATATGAGTTCCTGTATATACACATGTACTATATCTAAGAAACATCTGGGTTTAAATGGGTTTCAAGCATCCTGAGGGTATTCTCTACAGTAGATGATTTTTGTACATAGACAGCATGCATTTCGCAATGGGCTTTTATGTTTTTTTGTAATGAATGCTCCTTTAACTATCATACAGGTTGGTTAATGAAAATGAAGTTAAGCAGTGGAAAGAACAAGCAGAAAAAATGAGAAAAGGTAAACAATGAGACTCTGACAAGACCATGTTGCTGGTTATTAGGCAACTCTGTACATATAAGGAATTTGCATTGATAATTTTTATTGACTTCAGTGCATCAAGTAGCCTTCTTTTTCCATGTCTTAGAGCATTTTTCACTGGTTTTTCCTGACTCAGGTTATGTTAGTTGTCATGCTAATTCCCAAATATTTTATCCTTGTACTTTAATCATGCAATTTTTTTGGAAAAACTGTCATTTGCAATTTAATATTGAATTAAATGAATTCAAATTTTCATCTCAACCCTTCATCACTCCCACTCTTTAAATGACAGTGAATTTTAAGAACTCTGATATGAGATACCAGCAATTGCCCAAAATTTTAGGCAGTTTAGTTTCAGCTGCCTAATTCACCACGTGATCTTAATTTGGCATCACTTCTAAAAAGGGAAATCATACAGAAAAAAATGACTGATCACTGTAGGCATATGTGCTATGAAACACTAACAGACCAGCAATTGGTAGATATTTCAATATGTCTTTTATGTTAATATGCAGCATTAATTCGTAAGAGGATCATTTGTGTCCATCACTCTGCTGGCTACTCACAGAATGGATATAACTCTCTTATTTCAGAATATTAGCAAATTACAGTTGGCCCTTTGAGAAAATAATCATATCCCCGACCACTATTCTTTCACTGTGTTGGTCAACTGGCTTCCATTTTCTTGTCCAAGTTATTCAGTCACAGCCAGTGAAATACAACAGCACTTGCTTTGTTATTTAGCATGTTGAAAGCAAGGTCCAAGAGATCTGAAACATTTCCTGTCCTCTCTCACATTTGTCCTTTTCCATTGAGCAGAAAAGCGGGGTGCCACTGGTAGTAGAAACTATCAAATGAGAAGTACAAATAGGTTATCCTCATGGAAATTCAGATTACACTCAAATAAAAATAAATGAGGATGGGCATACATTTTTATAAATAAATACCATAAACTGCTGTAGAAAGAATAGACACACTGACTAGAAGGGTAAAAAGAGATCATACCAAAGAGAAAACCATCAACGAGTGGCAATTAAGGGAAGCACTCAAAAACCTGGAGAATGACGTGCGCACGTTGAGGAGAGTACTTGGGATGTAAGTTTTAGGATTGTTCAGTCGGTGAATACTTATTGAAGCCTTACCGTGTCAGGCACTGTACTAGAAGCTGTGGGCCTGAGCCTGAATTCTGCCCCTTACTGACTGGGTAGGTAAGCTAAGTCGTGTCCTTTTCTCCTCACTTCTGTAAAGTGAAGATTAAACCTAACTTACAGGGTTGCTGTGAAGATTAAATGACAAAACAAATAAAGGACTTTAATATAGTGCCTGGAATGTTCAGGTTGCACAATATATGATAGCAACTATGGTAGGATTAGGCAGCTATGGTGATACAAGAAGTAATGGCCAAAGTCAGGCTGGAACTGGGTGGTTTACAGTGAGGTCGTAGGTACAAAGTAAAAGAAGAGATGTTACAGGTAAAATTAATTCTTTCCTGGAAGCTTCAAGAAGCAAAGTTGTATTTAAGAGAGTATTTGTTGATTAATTCCAAGAGTGGAAGGAGTAAGGAGACAGGAAGTCCTTGGATCTGAAAGGTGGAGAATATTTGGAGAGAATTCTCTTTAGTGTAACACAGCTAGTTAATGTTCAATAAGAGCTTAGTGAATGGGTAATAAATGGAAATCATTTGTGAAGAGACTCTTTAGGCTGGGGCTTCACAAAGGTGGCATTACATCAGAATCATCTAAGGAGTGTTCAGAAATCACAGATTCCTAAGCCCTGCCCTGCCCATACAGCATAGATCCCTTGGAATAGGATGTGGAGATCTTGAAATGTTAAATTTCTCAAGTGGTTCTAGAGCGTGGCCAGATTTGTCAATTCTTAAAATTGCCAATCAGAATGAAATGGAGATAGAAGAAGGAAGATGTGGGAGACAGTGAGGTTTTTCATGTGTCTCTGAAGAAGTCAGGGAAGCCTTCCACAGAGTAGAAGTGAGTTAAAGGTTATCTTAACTGAAGCCTGGTAAAGGTCCAAAAATTTTCATAGCTTGAATCCTTCTCTGTAAACTATTGGGCTGTCAGAAAAGTCCTGATGTATTTTTGCTTGAAAAACAGAAAAAAAGTCATGACTTTTCTGACAACCCAATATATTTTGGAGGACTCAGAAGAGAAAATGTAAGGTAAAGAAAAAGCAAGAATTTAAATGTGTTATCAAATTCAGATATAGAGACCAACTCTACTGCTCTGTCCCAGCAGACCCTCTCTCTTGTGAGTTTGTTGTTATAAAAGAATCAGAATTGGGGCCAAGTATTGGCAATAAAAACCTGCAGCCTAAACTTCATTAGTTCTCTTTCCCAAAGCCCATCACTCCTGTCAGCAGGTTTTTTGGCAATGTAAATAAACAGTATGCTAAACTGGCTGCCTTGTTCCATGATAGCTGTATTGGGAAGTCAGTAAAATTACAGCTGAAAGCTAATATTTTTCCCCCCTGTTATGGTGACTCTCATGCTCAGCCAGTAACTACTGCCCTTAAGATATTTAATGTTGAGATGATAACATTTGCTTTCACAAGTTTTATAAATTGTTAGCTGGAAGCATAAAATACTCCAGGCCCAACAGCCTTCTGAGGGGAAATGGGAGAAATGACTCCTCGTTGGGCAGACACTGTGTCTGGCAGCAACATTCCCTCAGAGGGCAAGATCCTTCCTTCCAGCCCTTCTGCTTGTCAGACGTGAGCCAGCAAACCTGCCCAGTGAAACCCTCGCTTCCCTCAGACTGGTATCTAATTTACAAAAAGAGACCCTTTCAAATTCCTTTCCCCAGCCTGGCTCCAAGACCCTTTCTTTGACAGGATTCTGAATTCAATCCCAAACAAGCACCATTCTCTCCACCAATGGCCACTCACACACTTGTGTTCCATCGTTAGCCCTGTGACTCTGGGGATTCTTCAGTCTTTTAAATGTCAGTACGGTGGTTCATTTGAAGCCCCCTCTAAGCATGACCACCTTTGAGCCCTTAAGTCTCCCTTTGATGGACGAGAGGAGCAATACTTCATAAAGACCCTCATGGTCACCCTTGGTCAGTGTCCTTAGTAGAGAGAATGTTCCAGCACTAAAGAGTGCCCCGTCTTTACATCCCCTTATTTTCATGTTCAGAGCACAATGAGTTACAGCAGAAATTGGAAAAGAAAGAGCGAGAGTGTGATGCCAAGACCCAAGAGAAAGAGGAGATGATGCAGACCTTAAACAAGATGAAAGAGAAGCTTGAAAAGGAGACCACCGAGCATAAGCAAGTCAAGCAGCAGGTGGCGGATCTCACGGCACAGCTCCACGAGCTCAACAGGGTGAGAGCTGTGGGCCGCACAGGGTCTTCTGTTCCGGGCTGCTGCCGAGGCCTCACTTCGCCCGGAGCTCCCCATCCTCAAGCAGATAATTTCTGCCTGTGGATAGAAAGCCTGACAGCCTTGATTTATCACAGTGGATGTGACATTTGCTCACTCTGCTTACCAGTCAGGTTGGGCAGCAGAGACAGGTTTATTTTTTTTCTTTTTTGGAGGGAGAGGATTTCTTAAACACAAAGCCTCCAACAAGGAAAATCACATTAGCTTCTAAAATGAACTGATCTCATGAAAAAAAAACTGTGCAATGGGTCCAGGAAGTGAGAGACATGTGAGCGCATTGCAGATGAGCACTAGACTGTTGAAGGGCTGACCAGAGAGAGCCCATGGAGGCCTGTAAGAGTCCATTGACCTCACTGCCCCTTTTCATTCTCAGAAGTGTGGGTTTTCTTTATAATGCACATTTGAAGCAAAGTTTCAGACTCTCAAAAACATCCCATGTCTTGACTTCTTCCACTGGTTTTGTCTTTTCAGAGGGCCATCAGTGCCTCAGTCCCTGGTGGACCCTCGCCTGGAGCCCCAGGGGGGCCCTTTCCTTCCTCTGCACCTGGGTCTCTCCTTCCTCCCCCTCCACCACCACTTTTGGCCGGTGGAATGCTGCCCCCTCCACCACCTCCACTCCCTCCTGGTGGCCCTCCTCCTCCCCCGGGGCCACCTCCATTAGGGGGATTCATGCCACCCCCTGGCGCTCCAATGGGCCTGGCACTCAAGAAGAAAAACATCCCTCAGCCCACAAATGCCCTGAAATCCTTCAACTGGTGCAAGCTGCCTGAGGTAAGCTATTTGTTCCAGTTTTCCCTCTAATGGGTAGCATTAGTGGCTCAGCACGCTGTCACCGAGAGGGGAAGCAGCCTGGCTGTTAAATGATTTCATTTTCTAGTGTGAACTCAGGGTTCCCACTAACTCAGATATTTAAGTAATAAAACTTCTGAAATTAATGACACGTTGTTTGAAACCAGCTCACTTGGCGCATCTGGTAGAGTGAAAAATTGGGGATAACAGCATGTTAAAAAAAATAATCACGTCTGTTCTTTTAGTGTATAACTATAAACTACAGCACTTATTAACTTCATGTTTGCAGAACAAACTGGAAGGAACAGTATGGACCGAGATTGATGATACAAAAGTCTTCAAAATTCTAGATCTTGAAGACCTGGAAAGAACTTTCTCTGCTTACCAAAGACAGCAGGTAACAGCATGTGGTACAGAGGCCAAGAAGTAAAAAAAATTGTGTCCTGTGCATGATCCCTGGGCCATCTGCCATAACCTTGAGGTTTTAGTTGTCGGCTCCTTGGTACCCTGGTATCCTCTTGCAAAGCAGCATGTTATGTGTCCACATGTGTGTCCAAGTACCTGTGAGAGAGAGAGAGAGACAGAGAGAGAGTGTGTGTGAAAGAGAGAGAAAGAGAGATGGAGAAAAGTATGCAAGCTCTTTGAGAGCTTCATGCCATCTCCATTGTTGAAAGGAGTTCTGTGTATTATCATTGTGGTTGGTCAAAATGGGTCACCAGGAGAAAAACACTAGTAGGAGAATCACCTAACTCATGACCTCACAGTGGTTTGTTTCTGAAGCCATTTTATTTTTTCTGACTTTTAGAAATACATGTTCATATATATCAGCTGGTTATTGTCAGGAGTGAGCTGCTTTTTGAAATAGCTTGACCTTTAAAAGTAAGATGGGTAAATGGCAGCCAGGCCGGGGGAAGTTGTAACTGTGTGTCTTGAACATGATAGAGTTGAAAGTGGGTCTGGGAAGGCTGAGCAAGTGTGAGATGGCAGTGGTTCAAGTGGGATCAGAGAAGCTTCTGAAAAGCAAGCAAAGCTTTTGTGATCGCAGGGACAGCACTGGACACATGCTTGCTGGCTGCCCTGACAAGCCCTGGTCATGAGTGTGTGGTACCCCAAACTCCTGGAGGGCATCATGCTGGATGTTCTTCAGGGTAGAGCACAAGAGGTCACAGCAAGGTGACTCACTACAAATGTTTCAGAGTTGGGGCCTCCCTGGTGGCACAGGTGATTGAGTGCTGTACTGTGAAGCTTTCCGCAGCCTCTGCAGTGCCAGTTAGATCCTAGCCAGCCGGTGAGAATCCCACATGGTACTGCAGACCTCTCCTGTCTCACCCGCTGCTCCCCTCAGCAGTGTATTTTGTCAGTCTGCCTGTTCTGTTCCCCGCTCTATCTCTGGTCAATCCTCTCACCCTCCCGCGCATCTGGCCTGTACCCTGGTTCTTGTATAAATAAATAACTCTTTTTTAAAAAACCAAAGAAAACATGTTTTAGAGCAAGGAGAGGTACTGTGGGCACCCAAGCAAAAGCCTGGGAAGGGAAAACTTGAGTCCCAGCGTGAGAAGGCAGGTTTTCAAGGCTGTCCTGGGGAGAGATATATGGAGAGAACAGAGTATGCCTTAAGCAGGAGCACAGAGATCCTGGGCATCTGTACAGGGGTTTTCCTTGGCTTGGTCTGGAGGCCCTCAACTCCCCCATGAATCATGCCGAGGGTGGAGCATCCTCAGAAGAGCAGCAGACTTCCTGGTCTGCTTGGGCTTGGCCCAGGTCCCTAGGAGTGTCTCAGAACAGAACTGCTGAGTGCTGAGGGGGATGATGGCCTGAAGATGGGGAAGAAGCAAAAGCTGAGAAGGTTTTTAATTTTCAAAATGGCCTCTAATGCATATGAAATTGAAAAGAAAAAAAAAAAGGCTATGTCTTTTAGACAGAATATTTTTCAATTAAGAGGAAAATCTTCTCTGGTGCATTTTATGCTGTTTCAGTAAAGTACAAAAATGTAGGTGGTTGCCTCTCAGACCAGATTCATTCCTCATTGGCCATAGCTAGGGCATCCTCTCTCTCCCTTCCTCCCTCCTCCACTCCCTTCTTACCTTCCTCCCTCTCTCCCTCCCTCTCTCTCACCCCTCTCCTCCCCCTCCCTGCATCCCTCCCCTCATCCTATTCCCCTTTCAGAAGGTGTCCTCTGGGTCACGATACGAGCTCATAATACATTTTAGCAAATTCCTATTAGATTCAAATAATCTGCTGACCTCATTTCATGTCCCATTAATTTCCCCCTTCAGTTTAGTCCTAATAACAGTCCATTCTGTTTGCCTAAGATGAAAATTTGGAAACTTGGAGAAGGTAAACTGAAGGAAGGGAAAACATCAGTTATTTCAAATGATGCTATTCAAGTCTGAACATGTGGCTTGCACTTATTACGAAGGCAGGTGGTTGAAAGACCCAAGTTTACAAGACTCATAATTAACTAGCTTTCAGCAGAAGGTGCAGAAGGATGCTGCCAAAATGCTCTGGGACAAATATGTGGACAGTTCTCAAGAGCTCTGGAACACAGGTTGCAGAAAGCCTAGCGATTGGGTAATTGTCTCTTAGCAACCAATCACTGTTTAAGTAATCAGTATTCATTCCAGTCAGGATAGCCGAGAACATTTCAGTTGTACTTAACAATAAGTAGACTGGTAAGTAGAGCCATTTGTGACATTTTTAGTAACATTTCCTGGAGAAAAAAATTTCAACACACCTGTTCCGTTCAATTCAAGTATATTTCCCCTGTTGGTGCAAGAATTTGAGATGAGAATTTTTGAACTATAAATGTCATTTCCTAAATGAAGGTAATTTGAGGCATTTTATTAAATTTACTAACTGTGGAGAGACAGAAAATTGAAAGATATCCACGTTCTAGTAGGAATATATAGGAAGGGGTGAATGAAACACAGCACCTGTCATTGAATGTCCCCTAGTTTTGTAACTAATCATGGCATCACAAACCTACGCTGTTTCATTTTAGAGTTGGCACTGCATTACCTAATTATCATCACTCTTACACTGATCTCCTTTCCACTCCCAAATGAATATGGGGAACCTACTTTTCCTACAGTATTCACTCTTTCTATCCTCTAGTTATAAAGCCCTGGTTAAAGTCTCTAGACTTTGGTCAGTTGTTTGATCATGTAAATATTTCAGAGGGGTAAAGGAGCACACAAATACCATTATCTCTGTGCATACAACAGGAACACTACACAGAGTAAGATCTTGAAAAAGAACTCAAGTGTCAGACTTGTATAATTTAGGTGAACACTGATTAGTTACCCTAGGAGAGGTATTTTATATAAATATATGTATACACGCATACTCAAGATATGCCCCCATTGATTTGAGAAATTTACCATTAAAATCAGAACAGACATATGCTGTCTGCTTTGTGTTTAAAGGATTCCAAAGACTGTAAATGTATTGAGCTGTTGTTGCTCAGGCTCACAATTCAACTTATGATATAAAAGCAGAGATGAGAAAAACCCATAAATAGCCATAATTTTAACTAAAAGATACTAAATAAATAATCAATGTTAAGTATCTGTTAACATTTTTGGTGTTGAATATGATATGCCCAGTTTCTAATCTTATCAGTCCTAAAATTTAATTCTTAAGAAGTTAGTATATTGGGCCTCCCTGGTGGTGCAGCGGTTGAGCGCTGGGCTGCAAAGCTGCCCAAAGCCTCTGCAGTGCCAGTTTGATCCCCGGCTGCCAGGCGAGGGACCCACATGGCACGCAGACCTCTCCTGCCGCCCGCTGCTCCCCTCAGCAGTGTATTTCGTCAGTCTGCCTGCTCTGTTCTCCACTCTAACTCTGGTGAATTCTCTCACCTTCCCGCGCTTCTGACTATACCCAGTGCTTGTATAAATAAATAAATAAATCTTTAAAAAAAAAAAAAACTGTAAAAAAAAAAAAAAGTTAGTGTATTTTTTTAATTTCTTTAATCATCATACTGACTCTCTAAAGTTGGTATTATTCCTATTTCCTATGATGCAGTGTGTACAAACAGCTGGCATAGCCAGGTCTACAAGCAGTATAATTCTTAGTTTCACTCTGTTCTCATGCTATGGTTTTATTCATTATGAATGTCAGGCTTTGTCAGGAGTTTTCTTTAGCTCCAGTTTTAAGAACAAGACCATCCTTATTCAGGAATTTTTTTTCTTTCAGTGTGGATATCAAAGGTGTGCAGAGCTGATTATGTAAGCTTATGGGACACATGAAATGGAATTTAATAGTAGGCAGGGTTATTCCCCCTGCTCATATTCCAGAAGTTCATTGAAAAGTCAGTTTCTCAAATCTCAGAACTTATTTTTCTTGAAATTATTTTATACATGTTCTCTAGGCCAACCACACACACACACACCCCCGTTTTAATGCATACTGTAGCACTATGCATCGTAATGCTATTTCAGATACAATTAAATGATAGCTATCTCCTTTCCTCCTCCTTGCTCTTTGTCTAAGGACACCCATTTTTTTACAGGTCCCATTATCAGCACATAGTAAAACATTTTAAACCTTTCTGCTTGGATTTAGGGAACAAAGGATAACTGCTATCCCATGTTCCAGAATCTGTCTCATCCTGCTAATAGGTAATAATATATAGGTCATTCTTGGGATGCCATTTGGAACATTCAATGATATAGTCTGATTTTTTATTAATGGTCAAGGAATTTTCCTCTTATTCTTTTTATTTTTTCATTTTCTATGTATGTGATTCTTACATTGAAAAAGTATATAAATGAGAATATTTATTTCAATAATCTACCCTTAACCATAAGGCACATGAAGGCAGAAGAGAAAATTGTAAATAGTGGTTTTTCTCATGACCAGAGTATAAGGTAGATTCCATAACAGTACTCCATGATAGGAGTTAATCTGATGCAGGGTTTTATATAAATATAAGTGTACATATTTTCCTGGAAAGGAATACCCTTTCAGGTATACAGAGGGATCTCAATCTCAGAAAGATTAAGATGCATTTATGTAAGATTTATCATTATTCGTCTGAGACTCGTCATTATCTATGGAGTGTTGAGCCATCTTCATTGTGGAATCCTACCTATAGGAACCTATCAGCACTGGGTCCTGACAATAGATGTCCCAACTTCCTGTTTTCTAAGCCCTACACCTGAAAAAATCATCCACAAAAATCAAACATTCTTTTAGGTAGAGCCAAATATAGAGGATTCTATCATGTTTGGCCTAAGTCAGTTAGTGAATAATTGACATTTTCAAAAAGAATGTTAACTTATTTGAAAAGTACTAGAAGCATCATTATTTTTTCAGCATGCCCCCAATAAACTTTGTGATTTCGTTTAGAATGTGATGATTAAAGGACTGTAAAGAAGGGGAATCTTTTTACCTAATTAAAGTAACATTAATTTTCAACACTGTGAATCAGAGGTACACAATCACACCTACACCCCACTGAGTATCCATCATAGTCCATTGAGCCCCTCCTCACTTTCTTCTCTTCCTCCCCCTCTGGTAGATTCAGATCTAGTTGGATTTTAGGGTTTGTTATTAGTTTGGTTTTGTCTGACCCTTTGTTCTGTTTCTTCATATTCTACATATAAGTGACCCCATTTGATACTTGTCTTTCCCTAAGAATGGGAATTTGAAAGACTACCAGTTAACCAAACTCCCCCGTGGCATGCCTCATCCTTACTTCTGGAAAGCTAAGGTACTTTACTTAGCTATTAACTGTTAAACTTGTTGCTGGTAGAAAAGCAAAAGGAGAAATAATGGACTTGATCATCACCTTGAAAGATAAAGTAACTGTAATGCCTGATGTATTCTAAGTATTGTGTTCATAAATAAATGTGTCAGGTACTATACAAAATGCTCTACATACCTTATTGTATTATATCTTCACAAGAATCCAGTTTTAAACCCCGTTTTACAGAGAGTGAGACTGAACCCCCGAGCCTCATACCTAGTAAAAGAGAGGTGCCAGACCCCATCGTCCACCACAGTTGAGGTCAGAGGTCTTAATTTCCTGACAGCAGGAACTAATGGACAAAGAGTTGTCAAACAGAGCCAGATCTAATTTCAGCTAGCAACTTCCTTACAAAAGAAAAGTTCCCTTCACCATAGTTTTTTCTGTCCTTGAAAGAAGAAGCTGCTTTTATAGGGTAAGAGTTCTAAAGAACTTCAGAGTAGAAAACTTGGGCATTAGAACAGGGATGAAGGAAAACTGAGACTTCAGAAAAGAAAGATTTCTTTTGGTTGTCATCTGTTCCTCAAATGTCATTCTAGAAAAGCGATCCCTCCCTGAATGGGTGGGTTCAGGGAGGACACATTGTGTTTCCCACTACAAGAATGATGCAAACCAGCTCATCTGTGTAAAATTGGCCTTGGCAGTGCTTCCGGGACCAATAAGACCTTGAGGAATCTGCTGAGCCAATGCTGGTTGTGCAAGCAGTTGGCCTGAAAGCTGGGGTGTGTTTTGTACACCGAAGCTTTTATTCATTCCATCATTGCAAAAATATGCAAAGAAAGCTATGATTTTCTCATATCAATTGCTTCTTCCTCTTTTCCTTCTTCGCTCCAGGACTTTTCTATGAACAATTTCAAAAAAGAGACTGTTGACCTTGTATGCTCGAGAAGCCCTTAAGGCAATTGGGCCAGGGCCAAGCATGGCTGTGCACCACATGACTCAGTTACTGCACATCGTCTTTTCCCTCATACCCAGCCATAGTACCCACAGGCATCATTTGGAATCTTGAGGGATACTGAGGGTTAATATGACCTATGTTGTTGAACTTCTCTTTTTTCTTTTCTTAATCCCTCCTTGTGACACAAGAAGGCAGGAAATTATTTCTACCCAGCAAAGAGCGTATTTCACTGGGTAATATCTGACAGTGGTTGATGGAACTGATATTTTCCTGTTGAATAAATAGAGCCCCTGGTCCTTTGAAAGAGGATTTGTTCCTTCCCCAACTTGAGTCTCTCTGGGGTGTTTTAAGTTCTCTCTTTTTTGAATTTGATTTGCCACCAATAAAAATTGTGTGCAATACCTGTCATCTTCTCTCTCTGCCCTGAATGCTTAGTACTCTGCTCCACATTGCGCCTTCAGCCAGGCCTCTCTCATCTTCAACAACTCTCATTGCTGATCCTGCAGGCATAAGTCATCTTTTGCCCTGTGTCTCTGATTTCCCTGACTGCTTTGACTTTCCCCCATTTGTTGCTGTGATTTCTGAACTGCATGTATCTGATTTGCCTTTTCCATGCCTCTGCCATGGCTGTAGGATTTCTTTGTGAACAGTAACTCCAAGCAGGTAAGTGAGCTAACCTCCTAAACCTTGCTTAATGTAACTCCTTGGCTCACTATAAGCTTGAAATTTCTTGGCTATCCCTCTTATTCCAATAGTATAATGCAATGCCTATATTATTCCATGTTGGGATTCAACTCTTAACTGAATATGTAGGGGTGTACCTGAAATCTTAACCCAACTGGCTGTTGAAGTTGGACCACACAGGTTTCCTTATTATAAATTCCATATTGTCTTTGTATCCTAAACTTACATAGTTCCAGAGTGCTTTGGTTCCTTACGTTCTTAAAATGCTATGATCCATTTTTAAAATTGATCCTGACCTCTATTTAAATCAAACTTGTTATTTATCAAGTCAGTCTACATTTTCACTTTGTGCAGCTTATTCAAACAGTATTTTATATAGAATTGTTTTATCCTTCTTCCACCATAAGTTATGACTCAACGTTATTGCTTACAGCTTTCTGAGCAGCAGCAGCATGCACGTTGTGCTTTGTTAATTCAAGGGATTGAGCTAATGCTTTGAGCTGCCCCCTCCCCGTTGTCCATCAGGCACCAGGGTAATGAAAGGTACCATCTGGGCTTTGAAGCTTCCTGTTGCTCGTAAAGACGTTTGGGAAGTTTCATTGTTCAGCTTTTTGAGTGCTCTGGATGCAAATGGTTCTGGGGTAAATGGACCCTGCAAATGGCCAGACTGGCCATGGCAAACCTCAGCTGAACTTGATTCATCGTGACAGTTCTTCTGTCTGCTATCCATAGGGATTTGGGGGACAAAAGGAGGGCACCACTCACTGTTAATTTATGCACACTTAGCATCTTCAACTTAGAAGCCCTTTGTTCTTCCAAATAATGCTTTTTCAAATGTGGGTGGTCAGTTTTTCTTATTATTTCCCATTGTCAACTAGATTTTAGCCTTTGTTTTAATTCCTCGACTTCCCTACACTGCCCCCCATCTCAACTCTCTGTGTGTGTGTGTGTGTGTGTGTGAGAGAGAGAGAGAGAGAGAGAGAAAATACAAAGGGAAAGTGTATGTCTAAAGTCGGAATGTCCTTGTTTGGCTTGATGGATTTCTTTCATGCTCTTTATAGAAAGAAGCAGATGCCATTGATGACACACTGAGTTCCAAGCTTAAAGTCAAAGAGCTTTCGGTGATTGATGGTCGCAGAGCTCAGAATTGCAACATCCTTCTATCGAGGTATTGTTGATGTTGAATAAACATTTCTATCGGGTCTGACTTTTCTGTCATGTTGCTCCAAACCGCATGTTTGTACTTGTTCTTTTAATGGTACTCGGCTGAGGTTCAGTTCCTCAGAATCTCTTCTATTTAAGGTGGTGCTTACTTTCTCTATTGGAATGTGTCGGAGCTGGTTGCCTACTTTGTTAACTTAAAAGGCAGAACATCCCATATCAATGTTTGTTTTTTTCCTCAGAGAGCCTGTAAAATGGCTCTTTACTTTATATGATTAATGTTCTTTGTTTCATTCTGCTTTCTAACTTTCTTATACTTTAAGGCTATATGATTTCGTGCTCTTTTTTAGCATTTTTTTATGACTGAAAGGATATATAAATCTCAAATCTCAGTAAAAGCCTAATTTATCAATTCAGCCCTGTTCAGAAATCTTTCTCATTAATTAGTGAACATCACTAATTGAAAAGGAGAAAGGAAATTTGGGGGCTTGGAGTCTAATTGTAGCTTTAAGCTGTATGTCAGGTCATCCTGGACATTTCAAGTAGCTTTTCTGTGTCAAGCTCCTTCTTTTTCTCTAACAAGGGATTTTTCACATCAGGCAAAGATAACTAATGCTGAATCAGTAAATAAAGATGTAAAGAATCCCAAACTTTGGGGCTTTAAAAATAAGTCATATTGGTTCCATTCTGGAAACACTGTCATAAAACACATTGAGCCTGGTATAATGTGGCTTCTCTTTCAGGGAGGGTAAAGAGGGAAGGTCCTAGTCCTTGTTTTACAGATGATCTTAGAATGACTTTCTTTTAACACAAAGAGCTGCTGCTTGGTTTGCAACATAGAAGCTTGATTGTGAGCCAGATATATGTTACTTTAGGGAGCAAGTGTTTCTTTTAGTGAAAGAAATTGAAGCTTAGTGAGATCCCTGAATTTTAATACAGCTCATAAGGTAATGTGAACCATCCTGTTAACCTTTCATTTCTGCTTCTGACTGGAGGCTTTCTAAGTGGACAGGCCCTGTGCTGATTCCCACTTTTGCTCCCTAAACACATGTTCAGGAAGACACCATTGCAAGTAGCTTGAAGGTCTACTTATTTGGCTTTTTGGTGTATATAATTTGCTTTCTTACAATATTTTTTTTTTACCAATAACGTTCCTAATGGCAAAAATAGGTAAAAATGTGGAGCAAGTTTTTTTTTTTTTTTAATTGTGGAATTTTTTCCTGTATTTTGTTTTTGTAGTCTAAAAGAAACACTTAAAATAATTTCTCAAAGAGAGTTAACTCTCTAAATTTCTACACTGTTTAAGTGCTCATAGGAGTAAAAATACTGATCCAGTTCTTTATAGACAGATTAGGCTTAGTACAAAATGACAATCAGAATAATTACACCAGTCATAGATAGGGTTTCAACTCTTTCTGGCAAATTTTCCATGCCATTACTGAAGGAATTATTTCATATTTGTGGTATGTAATTCCCTTGCTACTTCAAATGTGTCAGAAGCTAAGGTGACTTACAACTTGAATGTGTCCAAACTCTCTAGAAGACTGGTTTAAGAATTTGCTCCTGTAAATTATCTATTAAAAGCCAATTTACGATAAGTGGTATTATAGTGAGTGTAATTAAAAAGTGTATGTGCATAACAATGTAATATTGAGTCCCAGTTGACCTTATGATAATGGGGGCCTTATTGATCAGAGTCTAAAACCCTTTCTCCCACATGCTTTTCTGCTTGGTGGTCAATAGCTTTGCTCTTATCAGAAAAGCCTAGGACTGACATGTTACATGTGCTGTGGTAAAGCTAAAAGAAATTAACCAGATTTAATTTTAATTTATATCTTATTTGGTTTTCTAACTTGGCAGCAGTTTGCCTTGCTTTTCTTCTCCCTTTCTCATTGGTAATGCATTACTGCACATAAAAGCAGCAAGAAAAAGGGGGAGAGAGATGGGAAAGTGTGCTGTGACTTTTTTCTTTGAGGGTTACCACTTGCTAGCTAGCATGTACTTGCCTGGCACCATCTGGGTGGCATAGGATGTACCAGACTTGAGATAGCACTGGAGTCTTTAGGTGCTTAGGCTAATTGGAGAAGAAAAATGACACGGGTCAGGTGACTGCTGGGCAGTTCAGGGCTTTGATTGGTCTGAACAGAACGGGAAAGGAGCCCAGCTCAGGGGCACCAGCAGGACTTACCAGAGAAAGTGGCTTCAAGGACCCACTTATGCATGGGCATAGGGGATAGCCAGCAGTCCCAAGGATACATGCAGTTGAAGCAGGGGCACTGGAGGAGTGGAGCCTGCTGCAGACAGTCATCACTTGGATTGAATGAGACCAAACAAGAGAGCCTGCCCTCCATGTCTGGTGCCTTTGTAGGTGCTGAGTTAGCTCAGGGTCAAGCCATACCCATCTCATCTATAAAGCAGAGGTAAGGAAAGTTGCAGTCTTATATTGTACCTGTGAATTAGTCCTACATGTGGTAGCTGCTCAATTAGTTCCTTACCCACTACACTGAAAGAGTTAGTGGACCTTTGGTCTGGGGCACCTGCCCCAACCATGCCTAAAGATGAACAGACTATGAGAAGGAAAGCCCTTCCCCAGGGGCCAAGAAGGGGAGGAGTAGGTCAGGGTCACTTACAACTCCTGGAAAGAGATGGCCTGGAAGGTGTCAGGTTGAAGCAGAAGCTCCAGGCGCCCAGGGCCCTGTCTTCCACAGACTTGAGAAGAAAATGGAATGGATGGAAGGGACACTGAGATTGAGAACCCATTCCTTAGACCCCAGGCAGCATGAACGATAACTTTCCTACTGCATGTATATAGATGACATGTGGCAATTAAAAATTCACTCTGCTTTATTCCCTAAAACAGACTTTCTAAAAAGAAAGAAACTTGGAAGCTGGCTTATATTGCAGAATGAATCCCCCTAAAATATACTTTTATGAAGTGTTCTGCCATTCTCTTTTTCCAGATGCTCGCTTAACATGGCAGCTGGGGTTTAGTAAACCACAAAAAGCTACTTTAAAGTAGGTGGATTTGGCTTAAATCCACAGAAGCTGAGCTAAGGCTGATATAGCCATCCATCCTTAACTTACTTTAATTACGCCTGGATGTTCCAATTCTCTGGCAAATTTTTGAAATACTTGAGTGGAGCAAGGTAGACTTAAATACTATTTTAAATGGCCAGTTTGTTTCCTGCCTTGTAAAGAAAAGTGAAGTGGAAGTCTCAAAAGTTGCCACCCTCCAGCACACCAGAGCACTGCCAAGCTTTAAAAGCAATTAAAAGGTTAGAATTGGTAAGGTCCTTAAATTACAGAGATTACTGACTCATTCTCTGGATGACAGATGATACTAAGCACTCGGCAACCTATAGAAATATCCTGGAGGGCCACGTACCCTTCTCCTCTTTCCCCAGGGGTCCAGTTTCTTTGTCTGTTCCAACAGGCCACGTGCAAGGCGGCACGATGACAGGTAGGTTTTCTTAAGTACTCTCCATTAAAGTCTTGAGTCGCTTTGTGGGCCACATTAACAGAAACCAAAATTGTTATGAATTAGAGCTCATGTTTAGTCCAGACGGCCTCTGGGGGTTGAGGAGCATAAATATATACAATTTCAAAAGCAAGAAGTTCTGCACTCCATATGGGGAGCTAATGAAATGCAAATCTGATACTTCAAGTATTGTTCTCACTCTGATTTTCAACTCCTTTTCTTTTAAATGCAAAACAGAAGGACTGAACAGAACTACACCATAAAGTGGTTTCATCAGCTCAGTGTGAGAAGGACACAGAGCTAATTTATTTTTTTTTCCTTACAAACAGAGATTTTTCTCATGATGACTGTTTAGGTTTCCACAGCCTGTTAGTTTCCATTTGTGGTAGTTAAAGCCTCCCCTAGTGTTCCTCCACTTCAGCCCTCCATGCTGCACCAGGGTGTCTGTCCTTGGTTGACTGAAGAGCCTTTAGGGTCCTGTCGGCTAGGGCTGCCCAGCCTGCATAGTGGAGACCCTGATGCCAGGATGCGGTTCTTCCCGCCATATTGCTCCATGCCAAAGTGGCTACATTGTTCTACTTGTTGTGGGTTTTTCACCATATGTCTGGTGAGCATGTTCCTGGGGTATTGATTGTCCTCAGAATGACTAAAGCCATTTGGAGAAGTCTGCCCCAGATCAAATTGCTGTCCACAGCCTGGAAATTGGTACTAGCTGACCCTGTCAAGCATGAACAGTTTGGCATGTTGCTCTGATGAAAATGGTATTGGTATAGTAGTTTGCCTAAATTTGTTCCTTCCCTTTCCTATTATCAGCACTTGAAACAACGTTCAGCTTAAATAACAAGATAGATGGTTTTAACAAGATCAAAATCTAGGGAGAAGGACGAATCAGAGGTGTTCTGAGTGGGACATGACTCACCCCAGATCCACCCCTGATTCATTCCTCCTTCTAGGGCTTTTGGGTCCAGCTCTCTCATCTCCCCTCTCCTTTACATGGGACAACTGGGGTGACCATGTGTGCCTTATTTGCCCTTGTTCATTCTCCCAAATATTAGCACCATCTTTCAAATAAGAATGTGTTTTCTCATTCTTTTTTAATACTCCCAGGCCTGTAGATGTATGCAGAGAGGAAACTGGTGAAATGATGTCTGTGAGATTGCTTGGGGAGGTGTTCATAATAACCCTGCTAGGCACTGTTCTGTGATCAGATATCTGCCATGAATCTCACGGTCACATGGGTACTGCTGCTTGCTTCTTTTCCAGTGTGGAAAGGCTGCCATGTAGAGCATCCATGTGGTTTATCGAGCCCTTTCTTTAGCTGCTCACTATGCTCAATCCCTTATGTACATTATTTCACTTTATCACACACATGCAAAATTATTCTTATGCATTCTTATTATCCCTGTTTTATAGATGAGGAAACAGGCTTAAGAAAAATTTTTTCCAAAGTCACACTGACCAGGAATTGCTAAAGTCAGAACTGAGGCCCAGCCTCTTTGATGCCAAAGCCCCTCCTTCGAACATTACATCTTGTTCTGTATTTGTGTGTTTATGGCTTTAGCTTTAGTCCTAAATATGATTCTCTTGAAGATCACAAACTAGAAGAATAGATAAATGAGTTTAATATGCCATAGTTGTGGTGGCTTATCAGGAAGTAAGGTTTTTAAAAGAAGTCTGGGTCTAATGCTCATAAATAGAAGAGAATGATTCTATTGTACAGGTAATAATCTGATTAGGATTTTTTTGCCATGGTTAAGACTTTTGGTTGTGTCCAGTAAAAACATTTTTATATGTATATTTTGATTTCATGACTTTTTACAGTCAACCCTCTGTTATTCTGACATAATTTAAAAGTAAATCGTTTGAATTTATGGTTTTTGCTTAATTCCTTCCTTATAAGATACTAAGTAGCTATATTTGTAAAAAATATTTGAGGTTAGCAATCATGAGTCTTGGGTTTGTGATAGATACTGCTGCTTTCTCTATGTTGGGGCAAAACACTCAGCCATTCTGTACCTCAGTTTCCTCTTCTGTTAAAGTGCAATTATTTTCAAGCTCAATTGAAATATGTAAAAAAAAAACCCTCAATTATTAAGTTCCTATACATTATATGTTGTGTATTAACTATTCAATTTTTTTTTAAGATTTATTTATACAAGAACTGGGGTACAGGTCAGAGGCATGGGAGGGTGAGAGAATTCACCAGAGACAGAGTGGGGAGCAGAACAGGCAGACGGACCAAAGACACTGCTGAGGGGAGTAGCAGGCGAGGCAGGAGAGGTCTGCCGCGCCATGTGGGTTTCTCCCTGGCCAGCCGGGAATCGAACCCACATTGCAGAGACTGCAGACAGCTTCACAGTGCGATGCTCAACCCACTGTGCCACCAGGGAGGCCCTAACTATTCAATTTTTAATAGTAACAGGGATTCTAATTTTCTCAAAATTCATCTTTGATCTGACTGCAAACTTTAAGCAAATCTGAACTCTAAGTTAAGAATTTAGTTTTTTACCTGCAATTCATGGACATTATAGATATAAAAGAAAAATGGTCATATATGGGTATTTTCCTTGTTTCTCATCTTCCGATCCCTCATTTAAGGAAACTAAATCCTAGAACATAACATCTTTGTTCTCTGTGTCAGAAGAGCATTACAAAGCCTCAAAAGAATGTTAAAGCAGTTTCAAAATACTATTTTTAGGAGCAATATTATCAGGAAATAAGCTTTCACTAAGAGATTTTGAGAAAAACGGTACTGGAAAAGTAGCAGCTGAAGTAGCAAAATAAATCATCTTGTTTTAAATTTTAATACTTAAACCGGTATTGTTGACAACAAAATTAAATATTTTTTCTCCAGGTTGAAGTTATCCAATGATGAAATCAAACGGGCTATTCTAACAATGGATGAGCAGGAAGATCTGCCCAAGGACATGTTGGAACAGGTGAGCTGCCAGACTTGTCTCAGAGCACAAGTGACAACTGGCTTTTCAGCAGGGAGTGGATGTTGAGAAATCCTGGTTGTTGCCAGAAAAGGACCATTTCCTCAGCTCTGAGTTGAGGAGGCTGAACCAAGGTGCCATGTGGCCACGGTGGGAGATTTATGCATTAATTCTCTCATTCATAAAGGTGACAGGTGAAAAGATAGGTCATGAGTCTGTCATATGCCTGGTACCCTTCCTCAATGCAACAGTTCCCCTGCGACAGTTATGCTTTAGTAGGTCTTAGAAGTGTACTAGCTTTAGTGGAAAATCTGAGCTTCACAGGAATATCGAGAATCTCACTAGCACTGTGAGATCACAGACTGCCCTGCACAAATCCTGATACAATTTGTGTCTTGTTCTTGGCTCTCCAGTCCCACTGCCACACGACCTACTCCTAAATGCTAACCTGGACACTGTCATCTGTGTTTAAATAGTCATATGCATTAGGAGATGGAGTATAAATTTCTTGGGGTTACATGGGTCCAATCTCTGGCACCCTTCTTGTATCATAAATAGCACTATATTTAAATGCTGGGGCTAGAAAGTTCTGTATGGGTTTACATGCAGTCAGTGCATCTTTGCCTGTGGTATTTGAAGATAATTTTTGTTATCCATGGCCAGGCAGCAGTCAAGTGTGGTGACATAGCTTCTTAGGGTGCAGTGTTTCTGTAGCACACTCCATTTAGCCACCCCAATACTGTCACATGTTGTTCAGCAGCTTTGTTCAGTTACTCCCAAAGTGATAACTATCAGCTGTCTCAGGAATTATCACCTGTCTCTTGGTCTGGGCTGAAACTGTTCTGTATTTTGTAGTGCTAATGCCTGAAAGTGCTAAGACTGTTCTGCCAGCGTGTCTCATTGCCCTTGGGACAGTCATACATAGCCTGAGTGTTTTTAATTCAGGGATTCACTTATGATAGACTGTGACAAGTAGTCATGATTTTGTTTGAACTGGAAGACTCGTGGGTAGTCATACTCAGCACCCCAGAGCAGAGAAAAGGGGTATTTTGATGGCTTACAGTGAGCCTGTGTGCAGGGCTACTACTAGGGGAGTATTAGTCTCTGTTGTGCATTTTCTGTGGTTCTCACTGATGTCCTACATAGCCTTGGACACAAGGGAGGGTAATGTGTGCAGTGTCACCACTTCAAAATAGAACTGTCCCTTCACGGAGCCTCTGCAGCTTCAGTCATCTGAGGTGAAGACCCTCACACTTAGCAGTAGAGAAGTGTGTCCTACTGTCCTTTTAAGATTTGACTTAGCTATCCGAATAGTTAATGACTGTTTCCAGGTCTGTTAGGATGCTCTGTATATAGATAGTTTGAAAGTAACTCCTAAGCCCAAAGTTCATTTTTTAGAACCTTTTACAGTTTCTCAGCCTGAGAGAGCAGAGCCTGGGTGCCCTCCACCCCTCCCTATCCCCAGGTGACCCTGAACTCTTATACCGCCCCCATCCTTGCATGAAGCTACTTCATGTCAATAGGGACAAGGGTCGTATGTTTAAAATTGACAAGGTCGTATGTTTAAAATTCCACAAGATCTGTTTACTGTGAAACCGCATCCAGCAAAATTCCTCCTTGAGGGAAAGGATTTCAAAATCGTGCCAAAAGTGCTTTACAGTGCAAACAGAAAGTACTTCAAATAAATACAAGGAAGAAAATCAGTCTACTGAAGCAGAATCTGTCCAAGTCAGATACTTTTGACCTGCTCTTTCTTGATAATTCTGTGTCTGTCACTCTCTGGTCATCTCCTGTGCTCTTTCTTTTCTTCTTTATTCTACCATGTTCTCTGTATCCTTTGCCTTCATACAGCACTTTCTTCAGACAAGTGTTGAAGCTGGCTTCTCTGTACTCCTAGTTATGGTTTCTACTGAGCAACATTCACTCCCTCCTCTCCAGCTTTTAGCTGCTGAACTTGGGTCTCAGATGATAACAGTATACGCCTCTCCTTATTCCCAAGTGATTGTCTTGCTCTTCACTCCTCTCTTAAAATTATCCATACACATTCTGTTACTCCACTCTTCTATGAAAAGTATTGAATCTTTAGCATGTCCCTTATACAATGCTCTTACAAGTAATGAAAGAGAAGTGGTGGTTGTGTTATCCTGAACAGAGCCTATCTGCTCACCATAACTCTGTGTGTGTGTGCACATGTGCCTTTGTGTGCTCATGCTTGCTGGGGAGACAAGCACTGAATTTCCTTGCCCCGTAGGTAAAATTCAAACAGAGGGTGAAAAGCAAGACTTTATCTTTCTAGTCCTTCTCCCTTCCCTTCTTGCCCTATTACCTTATATGTCTGCACTGAGGAAGAACAAATAGAAACTTGTTATGTCCAGTATCATCATCTGAACCCAGAAACATAAATGCCTAGAAGCTGTCAGGCCACCAGCCCTGTGATCTCCCTGGCATGCACTTCCTCCTTTCCCCCCTTCCAGCCCATTAGGCAAAAGGGTGTCCCTGGTCCATCCCTTCCTTCTGCTCAGGGCCCAGCTGGACAGTAGGAGCTTCCCCCCGACTCTAGATTTTCAGTCTTTCCCTTTCAACATGTTACTTGTTTGACTCTCAGTCTCTCTCTCTCTCTCTCTCTCTCTCTCATGCACACACACACCTTAGCACCCCCTATCCCATCTGCTTACTGTCCTCTTCTTTTTTCAACTCAAAGTTCTTGAAAGCTTGTCCACACACTCCTCCTGTTCACTCTTCCTCAACCCCCCTCAGTATGTCCTCCTCACGTCCCCAAAGCTGTTCTCACTAGGGAACCTCATCTTCCTTGTTGCCAAAGCCTGGGAACACCTCCCAATCATTAGTCGTCTTTGATTTCTTCTTGGTATGTGACACCGATGGCCACTGACTCCATGATGAAATGACTTCTCCTTTGCAATACCACCATCCCCCTCTGTTTCCTCCTCCGAAAGTTCCTCTCCTTCTTGTACTTATCTCATCAATGCTGACTTCTCTCTAGTTCTGTTTTTTTCTGATGGTTCCACTGTTTACCCCACTTATATCTGTGCATTCAGTACCCTACCTGTTACCAACACTAGTGCTTAGTATTCCAAACAGATCTCCCCAGGACTCCACACCCAGTTGTGCACCTGTCTACTAAAAATCACACCCTCCTCCAACCATCTCTACCTGGATCCCCTGTTACTCTCTGTCTACGTTGTTGCCTTGGCCATAAGCTCAAACCTCATCCTTTTACCCTCAGCTACCACAGTCCAGTTATATTTCACACCCCTGAGCAGCTCCAGGGTCTGTCCACTGCCCCATCCTCCCTTGGTCACTGTCATCGCTCACCTGGGTTACTGCGCTTTGATACATGTTCATAATTTTAGAGGGAATCAGACACATACCAAAGCACTTTTTCAAAACATTAAGTATTTGGTATTTTTTCCACATCCCATGCTCCTTTCTTCCTCCAAAATAAAATGTGGAATCAGAAACTTCAAATCCCACTATGTTCTCTTCCTCCAGCTCTACATGGAACAAAAAAAAAATGAGATGCAATTAGATGAGCCAGAGAAATAAGCAAATTGAATGGAAAATACACATAGAATTAGTCATTCCAGCATGATGTAATAGAACAAAAGGCCCAAGCTGAGAGCCCAGAGACCTAGGTTCTATTTCTGCTGATTACGTGAACTTGCTTTGTGATCCTGGGTGAGCTGCATAATCTCTCTGGACCTCAGCTATCATCTTCTAGTGGGGGGGTTAAGTCTCTAAGGTCCATCTAAAGGTCTATGCAAGGTGGGTCATTATAAAGAGCTTCCACAATTCTGACTTGAGAGGCAGTATTAATGAGAAAGGTGCCAAGAATGAAATCTAATACCAATTTAATTACTTTTATGTAAAAACATTAAGATTTAGTTATTTCAGTTGTATCTTAACAATCACCTGTGGGCAGAGTTTGTAAATTAAACAAACATTAAAATTTCATTTTTGGGCAAATTAGCTAAAAGCGTGAAAAATTACTGCAGAAATTTAAGTTATAAATCTTGGTTTTAATATTTGCATGTTCTTTTTAGCTCTTGAAATTTGTTCCTGAAAAAAGTGACATTGACCTGTTGGAGGAACATAAACATGAACTGGATCGGATGGCCAAGGCTGATAGATTTCTTTTTGAGATGAGTCGGTAAGTCTGAAAATGCTTAAAAAGATGCCCCTAAGGAAGTTAAACTTTCGAATCACACCAAATTATTTGAACCAATTAACTTGGCTTAACTTGAAGTTGTTTTGAATTCCAAAATCTTCTCAAGTTTGAGTTGTATGGAGTTTAATTGTTTGAGTTGTTGCCTCTGGGTGAGCCAGGGTCAGGGTTTCTTCACAATTATCTCTGTTTCTGGCTCTCCTTGGCTTCAGTGCTTTTACCTAATCTAGCCATACTTTCCCTGGTTCCAGTCAGTGTCTTTCTCTTCACAACTCTGATTTCTTGGGATTGCATCTTGCTCCTCCTAGTGCCTCAGCAGTTTGGTTTTTTTTTTAAGATTTTTTTTTTTTTTTAAATTTATACAAGACCCAGGGTACAGGCCAGATGCGTGGAAAGGTGAGAGGATTCACCTGAGACAGAGCAGGGAATAGAACAGGCAGACTGATGAAATACACTGCTGAGGGGAGCAGCGGGCGAGACAGGAGAGATCCGCCGCACCATGTGGATTTCTCCCCAGCCGGCCGGGATTGAACCCATGCTGCAGAGGCTGCAGACCATCTCACAGTGCAGCGCTCAACCACCTGTGCCACCAGGGAAACCCTAGTGTCTCAACATCTTAAGAGTGTTATAAATATGGGGGTAGGGGGTGGCTAGACTTGACAGTGTCAGCTTGAAGCCCATATAGCTGAGCAGCCAGTATTTGGATGTTAAATCATGACAGTGTACACGTCATTAATCAATCATGGCACTCTTCCCACAGAGCTTGGCAAGCTTTCTCGACCCTTCCATAGAAAGCCCTGAGGTAGTTACTGCTCTGTAACTGAGTTTGGCGTGTGAGCTGAGTATGTTTGCCACCCCAGGCCTAGTGCATTGGTTCTACAATAGAAAAGGACCAGTGGTCCTGAAAATCTCAGTCAACCCCAGGGCAGAGCTCTTCTCCTGAGTGGGCAGAGGCCTATAAATGTAGCTGAGGTAGACATGCCTCTCATTCTATTATTTTTGTCATGTCCAAACTTTTGTCATTGTTGTATTATCTCAACATTTTGTATACTACTATGGAGGAAAAAAGATAGTTCTGAAATTTTTACAAGTGTTGCCAGCAGTACTATATGTAGACAGATGGTCACCTGCGATAGCTGCCACTTAATAATTGTCTAGATCTTTGCTTGCATCATCATACTTAATCTGATCAAACCTACCAGGAGGGCTACTGAAAACTAATAATAGGGAAGAAGATATGTGGAGAAGTTCAAGGTCACCTAATAGAATTTGGGCTGCATAGTCAGGTCTGTCTGATTATATGGTATAGATTTGGAGGAAGGGCAGATCACTGTTCCTATTGGAATGAAGTTTTCACCAGAGAACAGTTTATTAGCAGAAGACCTGGGCAAGAATGCTTTTCTGCCCCTCAGCAACACAAAGTTGCTTAGTGTTGGTCAGAGGCCAGTGTGCATCCCTATAATGTATAGTCACTAGTTGCTCCCTTAGAAGGCAGAGCTTGCCAGTCCTGCTAAGAGCATAAAGGGAGCTAACTCAGGAATTCAATGGACTATTACAAAGCTGTTAAAAAGATGAAACAGTCTATTTTGGAACAAAAAGGGTGATTTTGGAACAAATGGGTGACCTCAAGGTGACTATGTTAAGTGAAATAAGTGAGAAAGTGAAAGATAGATATCAGATGGTATTACTTATCTGTGGAATATAAATAGCCAAAAAAAAAAAAACACAGGCAAAATACAACAGGAATAAATTTTGGAGTTTAGTGAAAGAATTTAATGGTTGCCAGAGGGAATGGGGGAGGGAGCCAGATGGGCTACTGGCACAGAAGATTTGGCAGAGGGTGAATGGAACATGTACACATATGGAGAAGCAAAATGTAACTCCAAAATTAAATAAATGCAAGAAAGAAAGGGAGGTAAAGAGGAAGTTCTGGGGATGAGTAAGTAGAGGATGATATGAGGAGAAATTGATGTGAGGCATGAAGGCTGGAGATGTATTTTAAGTCTCCACTATTGCCAAAAGTGAACTTTGTAGAAGGTTAAGAAGCATGGGAGATATGTAAGAGACAGATCTTTATCTGCAGCACAACAGGGAGTCTTCACAGTGTTGTTATTTTATCTCTTTTATATGTTCATAAGAGCTAATGGGTCTCCAAGGAAGAGAAGTGGGCTTTAGTTAACAAGGGCCAACTCTCGTTTCCTGTCACAGTTGCCTTATTGATTGGAGCTAAGGATCATGCCCACAGTTGCCCAAATACCTCCTGTAGGTCAGAGGGAAATGGAATTGCCAGGCAAAGTTGGCCTCATGCTCTGTGCTTCTGTCTAGGAAAGGAATTGTGTGTCTCTGTGTGTGTGTGTGATTGAGGGTGGGGGTACTCTAAGGTACCACCATACCATTGAGTGATTGAGTGAACACAGACATGTTAGATTAATATTCACTACTCCCTGCTTGCTCTTACAGAATTAATCATTATCAGCAAAGACTGCAATCACTGTACTTCAAAAAGAAGTTTGCAGAGCGTGTGGCAGAAGTGAAGCCTAAAGTAGAAGGTAAAGGAAAGTGACCCATGTTGGAAATGATGTTCATCTTAAGTGTTAACCATTTTCATGTACAATTCAAGTGCACACAGTAAACGGGGTTCTATGTTGTTTTTTGCTTTGTTTTTTTTAACCTAAAAGTCTTCAGAATTCTAATGGATAATTATTTAAGAGCCAAGTCTGGCTCTCTTGCCTGGTTCCTGGAGTTCAGCAGCCTATCTCCTCAGCTCCTCTGTAGGACCAAGCTTTTGACAGCCTGGGTATTGGTGTTAGTGAGGAATTGATTTCACCTCTACCAGCAGTATGCCTGTGATTAGCCTTCTTGTAACCGGGCCTTACTGGATTTTAAGGAAAGATTTGTAAACTTTATTATTTATTTCATGTTTTAATTTTTTAAATATTATTCATATATTATATGGTTTGATTGTGAAGCTTTTCATTTTATAATGTTTGAAATGTGGACAAGGCCACTACAGAGCCACAGCCTCAGAAAGCAGGCTGAACACGGGACCCAGTTGAAGCCCTGACCCTAGTGTCACCTGCGAGCTGTGACATGTAACACATTTGACCAGTTTTTCTGTCAATAGAAGTCACCCTGACAGCCTGTCATCCTGTCACCCCAGACAAGAAAATTAGCAAAGGAATGTGGGAACTGCAGCTGCTGTTCCATGTGTCCTCCTTGCCTATGGTTCATGACTCAGCCAGAAATAGGCTGGGAACAGACAAGACGGAGCAGAGGTTTCTTGGACAATGTCGGCTGGCTCTCCCTGTACCCTTGTTTTTTTGCTTCTAGTTTAGGTGTTTTGAATTTACTCCTTGTGGCCTAACAACCCAATCTTAGGTCTTCAATATCTACTGTATCAGGATAGGTTTAGGATGGGTATCAATGAAGAGTCTTGGTTGTAATAGTTGTGTTGTTATCTGTTTTGTTTTGAAGCAATTCGTTCTGGCTCAGAAGAGGTGTTCAGGAGTGGTGCCCTGAAGCAGTTGCTGGAAGTGGTTTTGGCATTTGGAAATTACATGAACAAAGGCCAGAGAGGCAATGCATATGGATTCAAGATATCCAGCCTCAACAAGATTGCTGACACAAAGTCCAGTATAGACAAGTAAGTCTGGGCTCTTATAACACATGGAGGATCCAGGTGCTCAGCTCAGGGCTTAGCACACCGCCCAGCCCGCCTGGGCCTCATGATGCTGCAGTCTCTGGTTTGCAATTGCCTGTCTCACCGTCCCCTTTCCTTCCCCGGCACTGCCTTCTCTTTTTTTTTTTTTTTTTAAGATTTATTTATTTATTCATACAAGCACTGGGTACAGTCAGAAGTGCGGGAGGGTGAGAGAATTCACCGAGCCAGAGCGAGGAGCAGAGCAGGCAAAAGGACCGAAGTACATGCTGAGGGGAGCAGCGGGCAGTGGGCGGCAGGAGAAGTCTGCGCGCCTTGTGGGACCCTCCTCCGGTGGCCGGGTTCAGCCGGGGATCGAACCAGCGCTGCAGAGGCTGCAGGCAGCTTCGCAACCCAGCGCTCAACCGCTGCGCCACCGGGGAGGCCCCGGCACTGCCTTCTCTTACCTCTCAACCTTGACTAGCCCAACTGCACCTTGGGCCACTATCCATCCACAGGGATTTTTGTTTTAGGAAAACATTCCATTATAGTGCTAGCTTACTTATGGTAAATGTCCCATGAATGTTCACAAGTTGACCACACCTGTATAGCCAGCTCACTAGAAGTCTCCTCCCTGCCATGACCCCTCCACAGAGAACTGCGATCCAGGGAAAAGGAAAAAAACTGACAGCTGCCAAAGCTTGCTGGGGTTTTAGGTTATGTTTTTCTGCATATGTTGGAGCTACTAGCTATCTGAGAAAATTAAGATATATAAATGCATTTTGGTTCTTGGAATTGAGCTGCTCATCCTGAGACTTATTAAAATGCCTCCTAGAAAGTGTGCAATGCAGCATTTTAGGTGAATAGATTCTTGTCTGAGACACCGAGGTGTGAAAGTGCGCTGGTGCCATTAACAGGTAGGGTCATTAGGCATATTCGCTCTGGTTTCCCTGAGAGCTGTGTTTTCTAAGATTTTCACTGACTTCAAAGGAACTTGCACAAATTATTTCTAAGGTAAGCTTCCTTGCGCCCAAATTCTTTTTAGAAATATGGGATGTCCACCCTAATTATCCTAACTAGTGAGGCTTTTCAATTTTATATTTTCCATAGGGTTAGTGAAGCATAGCCTCGTGGCAAGCCTCAGTCCATCCTGTAACAAATAGGCACTGTGGTAAATTCTAGGGCTGAGCCTTTTTGGTTGCAGTGTGTAGAAACAGATTAATGAAGGGCAGCTGCTATGTTATATCATTGCCACCTTGTTTTTATTGTAAGCACTTGTCCCTTTCCAGAGCACTTTAACATTTCACTGTCGCAACTGCCTGTGAAGCTCACAGACCAAGTGCTGTATCACCTGTTGTCAGATAAAGAAACCCAGGCAGGGCCAAGTGACTCAGTAGCTTTCCCAAGGTCACAATAAGCAAGGTATTTGGCCTTATAGGTACTTAGCACCTATTCTGTGGTCTAGCCACAGCTCTGCTCCACCAAGATGGATCTTATTTGGAGGTTGTAGTGGGTCTTATTTGCATATAATAGTCACATTTTTGTGTGTACAAAATATTATTTTCTTACATCATTGTTCATTTTTGTACAATATTTGATTTTCCCCTTTAAATATAGTTCCATAAATCTCCCACCATCACATCACCCATGAACCATCACTGTAGTCTCTTGTGCTCTTCCCTCTCCTGTTTTGACTCCTCTTCCTCCCCTTCCTCTGCTGTATGCCTCAGATCTATAGTTAGCAGTCACCTTTTTAAAAAACATATATTTTTTAATGTATTTTTGTGTAGAAGAACTGGGGTGTAGGCCAGAGGTATGGGTGGGGGGGAGTGAGAGGATTCACCAGAGACATTGGGGAGCAAAACATATGGATTTACTGAAATACACTGCTGAGGGGAGCAGTGGTCACCTTTTTTAAAGAAAGGTTTTCTCTCTAACTGGGCTTGCTGCCTGGGGAGGAAGGAAACCCTCACTAACAGCTCCATTTTATTCTCTCTCTCTCTTTCTCTCTCTCACACACACACACACACACACACACACTTACAACACATGTAACTGTGGCTAATCTGCTTATTTGAAGTTATTACTAATGTACAAGCCTTTTCAAAAGAATAAATTTAGGGCCTCCCTGGTGGCACAAGGGGTTAAGCTCTGCACTATGAAGCAATCTGCAGCCTCTGAAGCACGAGTTCAATCCCCGGCCGGCCAGGGAGCTACCCACATGGTGCAGCAGACCTCTCCTGACTCGCCCACTGCTCCCCTCAGCATTGTACTTTGGTCAGTCTGCCTGTTCTGTTCCCCACTCTGTCTCTGGTGAATCCCTCATCCCCACATCTCTGGTCTGTACCCCAGCTCTTGTATGCATAAATAAATAAATCTTCAAAAAAAAAAAAGAATAAATTTAAAGCATTTCTGATCTCTCTTATCCTCTTCTTCCTGCCTATGAATATTTGGTTTCCAAAAGTAGCACCTGGGTCTTATAAACCCACAGTGCCTAGCAGAGTTCCTTACTTGTAAGTGATCACCCATTAAATATTCTATAGACTCTAATCAAACTGCAAAAACCAGACAGCATGAAGGGAACATTCACTCCCTGTGGAAGGCTTGTTTCTTGTAACAACCAGGGAATAATCAGTTGTATGGCTCTTCTGTTGTTTTTTCTTCATTCTTCAAGAATTTATATGCAATCAAATGAGGTGTGATTTGGATAGCAAACAAATGGAGAAACTCTGCCCTAGTTTTACATTTTTCTATAGTTACATTTATAGAAGAAATTAAAATTTTGGCAAAACAATGAAGAAAAATGGCATTGGTCTTTCTTGTGATGATCGCTGGGGTTTCACTCCCTTGTGTTGTCCCTCAGGCAACAGATACATGGGCATACATGCCCAGAATTAAAGTGGATGATGCAGGTGAACAAATATAAAAAATTACTCAGAATAATTGGCCACTGTTTTACTTATCTGGGAAAATGTTTTCTAATAATTAAAAGCAAGAAAAAGGAAAACATTTTTAAAATTGTGGGCTAGGTGACTTAGAGGAATAGGGTTATGTTGACTTTAAGTGAAGCTATAAGAGTAACCAGAAATGGTTTCATTGTTGTGAAAAAGAAAATTGTTTGGCAATCCTGTTTTACTATAACTGAAGATGGGCAGGACTATTATGTGGTGATATTGTGAATTTTACTTTTAGAGAAACACATGTGTATCCTCTTGGTATTTTCAGTGGTTCTTGGTTCTGGCTGTATGTTAGAATCACCAGGGAATTTTAAAAAATACTCATGCCCCACCTCAATCAAATTAAATGAATCTCAGGTTGGCCTGGGCGTCTGGACTCCAGGTAACTAGAAATTGCAGTGAGAGGGCTTGGGGACAAGGGAACCAGACTACCATTGCTTTGCCAAGGAGATAGTGTTATCAGATGCCTACCTTTTCAACCCAGGTCAGTCGGGGTTCAGCCTTGTCACCACTCAAGAGAGAGCTGGGTTTTTGTAGTTAGAAGGTGAAGTGTTGCTAAAATTAGGAAGTGGCTTCTCAGGTCAAGAAAATCATATCTATGATGGTGCAGCCCTTTTCCAGCCCTATTCCAGGCCCTGCCATGATTTAGGGGGCATTCTAATTTCCCAGCTACAGCAAAACGTGTCAGATGAGGGGAGAAAGTTGTTACAGAGTTGGAAGAAACCTTAAATGAGAATTATCAATAATTGTCAGCAGTGAGTTGCTGCTCTGAACTTTTAAACCTAAAAATAGCTATCTTATCTAGTGGATTCAACATCTCTCACTCCCTGCCCCACCCACACTGCTGATTAGAAATTACAGGCACACCTCATCTGTGTGTGGGTGCACTGGAAGGTGTGTCCCCCATGGCAGTGGTTCAGATTTGTTTCCATCACCCATCACATTACCTGGATTTTGACAGATGCTCTTTATGGGCCAAGGAATTCTTATCCCCTGCCCTTCCTTTTTTAGAAGACATATGCTTCCTTCTGACATGTATTTATATAAACCTAATGTAGGTGCTCCCTTGTATCCCCTTCTTTTGAGAATCCCTGCCTTACAGGAACCTCCAAGTTTTAAAATGAATGCAGTAAGATAATATTATTCTGAGTTCAACCACTTGAATGTACAAATCATATGCAGGACTGAACCATGATTAATACTTTCCTCCTTTAATTGTAGGAACATCACACTTTTGCACTATCTCATAACTATTGTGGAAAATAAATATCCCAAGGTTCTCGGTCTACATGAAGAATTGCAGGACATTCCTCAAGCAGCAAAAGTAAAGTAAGTGTGTATGGTGAATTGCTTTCCTTTTTAAAATCACTGAGGCTGTGTGTTAGCCATTGAGATAGTTAGCACTGCATGAAGCGGGTCCTTCTCTTTTCCCCTGAATAGTGCATGAAGTAACGTTTGAGTCATATCCAAGTCACAGAAATGTCTTCCACAGTTTTGAATATATATTTGTTCTAGCTCCCTTGAAATACCCCTGCATGCAATATTTAACTTCCATAAAACCTAATTTTCTGAGTTATTAAGCATATAGGAAAGGAATGTGGTTTCACGAGGGCTTTTAAAAGGCAGTTCTATTAAAAAATACAGGTCAGAACACCCTTAGTTAAATGAGGTACATGGCAAAGCAAATAGAAGACCTAAACCCAGGGCATTACTAGCCATTTTCACATGTGCGCACACTCCCAGAAACCCAGGCAACCTTTTAATGGAAAGCAGTCTTTATGCAAATAAGAAACTAAAAATAAAGTGGCAGGTTGCCAAACTTTCACCACAAACTTCACACCACTTTTTAGAGACTGAGGAGCAGGCAGTTTTCTTGGCTGTTTTTCCCTCCTCCCTTCTGCACCCTCTCCTCCTTTTAAAAACATATTTAAACAGCATATTTTTGCAGTGAATTTGAAAAATATGATGACCAAGCTAATTCTTTCCCTCTGTTTGTTAGAATTGGGTAGAAATGTACTATATGAGACACAGAATTTAAATGTCATGGTTAATGATATATTGGTGAATTTGTTTACATGTGAATTATTCATGAGGATTAAGTTGTAATTGCTAATATTTAAAAGCTGTCAAATAGAAATTATTATGGGAGAAGTCCAGGAAACCTTCTCTGTTACAAAAAAAAAGGCAGTAAACACAAAAACTGGTTAGTACAACTTTAAGAAAAACCATTGTTGATGAAAATGTATGCCATCACCTTGTAATACTCTTATTACCAGAGCTGTAGTGAGAAGTAGTCATCAGTTTTGAAGAGCACCGCGTGAACATGTTTGTGGATAAGCAGTGTCTTTCATGTGTTAGAAGGGAGCAGCATATGGAAAGAAAAGCATTGCTACATTTACTAATTTGCTCCAGTAATATTTTTGTGAGATTGAAACATAAAAATTTTTTGTGCAGATGGGAGATAGCTCTATTTTTAACAGATGGAACATAGCTGCTGGCTGTGGAAAACAAAACACATAATTCCGTACCTAAATTCTATAGGTTTGAAATGTTGTCTTCCTGAGAAATCTGAACATTGAGGGAATTTCAAAGATTTAAAATAATGAACTAGTGTGGTCTTCTAAGCTTGAAATATTTAAACCCATCATATACTTAAGACATGTTAAGTCCCATGTTAGTCACTAAAATGTTGCCACTTACAACAGCATGACTGAGCTGGACAAAGAAATGAGTACTTTGAGGAGTGGCCTGAAAGCAGTGGAGATGGTGAGTACTTGCTGTTGCTTCTATTTCCTAGTCTCATCACGTCTCTAGCGCCGGTGATTCCCAGCAAAGACTTGTTGCGCTGGCATGTGGGATAAGCATTTCTTCATTTTAAAAAGACGAAGGGAGTAACAAGGAAGACACAAAGGCAGCTGTGTTTAGCCTGGTAACTGGAGTGCAGGCCACAGGGTGCCATGGGGTGAAGGGGGGGGACTGGCTGGAGCAGGGAGTTGGAAAACTGGACCAGACTTTCAGTTTCCTACCTAAGAGGCAGGACTTGGGATTGGGCTAGGATAATCTTCAAGGATCCTCTCAGTGTTCTCATCCTATTAATAAACATCTACTACCAATAGAGCAGCGGACCTTAACATTGCAAGTTGGGCCTTTGCGGGAGTATTTATTGAGCAGACACTGGTGTACAGTCAATTCTCCAGGTGAGGGGCCATGAGATTCAGAATCCTTGCCGTGAAGGTATTGTGGTGGCCAACAACAATCCAGCAAGCATGCACGTCAACTCTATCCAGCCTGACTGGATGAGCAGTGAGGAGAGGGTAGATTTAGTTTAGTCCAAGATTGTGGGGACAATTAACAGATATTGGAGAAAATTTTCTTTTATAAGAAACAAATTTTGAGCGTGGCCAAAAACAATGGAGTAAACCTGGGTATACAGGAGGGAAATGGTTCTAGGTATAAGAGATAGCTGGGTCCAGGCCTTCATGGAAAGACTGCAGGTCAGAGCCCTGGAGGCTAAGAAGTTGGCAGCAACAGAACCGTGTGGGCAAAGCACCATGTGTGGACTATGTAGGAGCAGGCTGGGGGCTGAGAAACCTCACCCAGGAGAGGCTCTGGTCTGGCACTGAGGGAAGAAGGCTGACTCATAGTCTCCTCTTAGGGAGATACCCCTCCCTTAAGTATCTTTTAAATTATCAGTAATACCATGAGTATCTTCCTTTTTGAGTCACGAAACTGTGCCATAGAAAGTTGCTAGCTTCATAAAAGATGCACCGCTAATAAAAATAAAAGGGGACATTGTCTAATCTTTTTGTTTGTTTTTAATAAATTAAGGAGCACATAAGGTTTTGATTGTTTTTTTGTTTTGGGGGGGTGGGGGGGGGTTAAAAAAAACAGGAAATAAACTAGTTGCATAACTCTTTCTCCCAACCCCCATGAGCACTTCGGGTCATCTTCCCTGGCTTTCAGAGGCCAAACTGGAGAAGGGCGGTTTGGGACAAGGCTTGTTTTGTAAGCATCACTCGGTTGCCATTTCTGCCCTGTGGAAGACTTTCTGAAGACTACTTGGCAGTTATGACAACCCTAAAGCCTGATAATGGGTACACTGACCCTTGCATCTCAGCTAGTTTCAGAGCAGGGCATGGAAGGGAGGGGTACTGAGGAAGTTTTGGGTTGTGGGTTTATCATAGGTACTTTTGCTAAAATCTCCCCAGCCCTTGAATCGTGTACACTGTAGCACACTCTTCATAAAAAAGATGCTAGGGAAGCCTCCCCTCCCTCTGACTGTTGAAATATCAAAATGTAACACTGGAAGAAAATAATGGGAGTGAGATCTTGGCCTGCTGATGCGTTGATGTGTTTGATGCAAATTGATGATACTGTTTGAAGGTACTGAAGTAGGTGTTCTTATGAAAGTTAAACATTAATAATGTACTTTAAATTGCTTTTATATCTCCATCGCACCCCCACATACAGTCTTCAACCCCCTCCCTCCCTCCTACCAGCACCACATACTTGCTTTCCGGGCCAAAGTACTATAATCCTGACAATTTATTCCAATCAGAGCAAGCTCCACAATTTATGAGCTTCTAATTCTGTTTTTTCATTTGATTCTCATGGTTATATGAATATTGTCCTCCTTTTATTTTATAAGTGGAGAAACTGAGGCTCAGGCCACTTGGATGAGAACCAAACCTATGGTGGAGCTGAATCAGAACTCAACAGCTGGTGACCTCTACACTCCTGCTTTTTATTTAGTAGCTCTGCTAAAGCAGGTGCAAAAGAAAATAGATCAAGATTTTAAGTCAGTTGGCACACAGCATAGTTGTTCCTGAGACTCTAGACAAGCAGAGGTTCAAATTCTGGCTCTGTCACTTATCAGCTATTTGACTTTGAGCAAAGACTTTATTCCCACTGACCCTCACTCAATTCATGTGTCTGCACAGTTATGTGTCTACACAGAGTGTTGTGGGATAAAATAGGAAAGCACATCTGGAAATGATTGAAATTAGTGCAATTAGATCTGAGTCATCTGTGTATCATAATCATTAATGTAAGAGGCTCTGGATAATTAACAAGAAACTAATGCCTCCTACATGCCTGTTCACAAAAACTGAAGGGTATGGGCAAGAAGAAAAACAGTATATGATTATGGTGTCAAATGCTACAGTTGAAATTCAGCTGACCCAGACATCACAGTAGAGGAAGTAAGTAGAGTGGGCAGAGGGGAAAAGAAGGGAAAACCAAGGCACCAGAATTCTGAGCACAGAATATCCCCAATTTGTCTTGCTTTCAGCCACACATCCTTTGAATCCAATTTTTTGTTTAACTTTACTTTAACCCCATTATTTGTTTGACTTCTATTAATTTTATCCAAATTCTAACCTGCTTTCTAAAGTTATCATAAGAAATCATAGAGAAAAAGTGCTATAATTATTGGTTAAACTGCTGTTTTGAGGCGTGTGTACATGTGGGCATGGTGGGCAGAAGGGCGGTGGAGCTGGAGTATCACGAAATCATTTAGAGCAGGTTTTGACATGTTTCCATCTGATTTATTAAATTTGAGGCATTTGGAAAATGAGACAAGGTATGTCTGCATCTGAAGCCTGTGTTGACATTATCCATTTCCTGTGTTTAAGGAGCTGGAATATCAGAAGTCTCAGCCCCCACAGGCGGGAGATAAGTTTGTGTCCGTTGTCAGCCAGTTCATCACTGTAGCCAGCTTCAGCTTCTCTGATGTTGAAGATCTTCTAGCAGAAGCTAAAGACCTGGTAAATTTCCCCTTGCACAGAGTGTTGTTTGGCAGGGCTGGTACTTTCAGAAATTATACTCTTAAGTATATTTTCATTTCTAGCACTGTGATCAGTTGAAACACACTCTTTTGTTCTAACTGGCCTGTGTTGCTTGTAGGTTAGTTAAGACCTTGAAGTACCTGAGTGGTGTAAAACCAGCAAGCATTTTGATAGTTTCATGTTGGTTGATACTGGATCACAGCAGATACCTCTGGAAGTCAGAAAGGAGTAGATTATGAAATCCAGAGGCAGGATGAAATGTGAGGTCAGGTGTCACCACCACATGTGCCTCAATACCTGTAAGTAACTGCTTGCCTGAGATAGTCTTGGGACAACAGGAGACTCCCTCTTGAAGCCTCTGGGAGAACCTATTAAATGAGAGCATTTTAATTCATGGCCTCATTGCACAAGGCACATCTTTTTTTTTTTTAAAGATTTATTTATTCATTCACACAAGAACCCGGGTACAGGCGAGATGCACAGGAGGGTGGGAGGATTCACCAGAGCAGGGAACAGAACAGGCAGACTGACAAACACACTGCTAAGGGGAGCAGCGGGCGCAACAGGAGAGGTCTGCCACGCCATGTGGGAGCCTCGCCAGCCAGCCGGGATCAAACCAGCGCTGCAGAGGCTGCGGACAGCTTCACAATGCAGCACTCAACCACCTGCGAAGAGGCACATCTTTTTAATGTGACATTTTTTTTTTGTTGTTACAATTTTTGCCATTTCAAAATTTTGTTTTTCTTTAAAGAAAGACCTTTAACTATCCCCACCCATCTCTTTGTCTCACCTCTGCCTTGTTATTTCCTCTTCCGTATACATACACATTTACATACATGTATGTGGACACATTTTCCTCTTTATTTATACCCCACCCTATTGAGTTCCTTCATACTGCCCACCTCTCAATTGCCACAGCACTCTAACTTTAACTGGAATCTTTCCTTCAAAGTTTTAGTGGTGGATGTCACTTCTCTGTGGTCACCTGTTCAGTTATATATGTAGAGAGAGAGATGGTTGTTATGTAAGTGTACACACAAACTGGTTCAAGTTCAGAAGTAGGCTATATTAAGATACACTGGCTAATCTCAACATTAAGCCCCATCTCTAACATTATTAAATAAATGGGAAGACTGCATGTTGCAGTGACTGCTTTAGAGCCCCGCCTCTGGTAGCGCATGACTGAAATCAGTCAGCTGATGTATGTGGAAGCCCCATCCATGTCCTGTGTACACTTCACTTTGGGGTATATACTTGTATATACTCCATCCCAAACCAGGCATTGTAGTACGTACTTCATGAAGGAGTCGACTGTTTTATAAGAATCAGTAGTTATGGATAGTTAATTTTTTGGTATTAACACACAGACACATATACACAAAACCTGCATTTATTTATTTATTTATTTATTTATTTATTTAGTGTGGGAACTTTAGTCTGAGATTAGTTTTCTTCAGATTTCTAAGACTAAAATATACATGACTTCATCATCACTAGAATTCCTAGATAAAAAGATCATTCAGAATGGCTTGAAGTGCATGAACTTTAATGTTTTTGAAACTCAGTTAAGAGCTGTCTATGGCTCTGTTATTCATACCAGAACTTTTAGGAATTAGCTGATGAAACCATTCGGCAAGCGAGAGCACAGTGTGTAGTGTGTGAAGAATGTCGTGTTTCTCCCTACAGAGCTCTGGTTTCTGATAGAATATTCCCAAATAAGTAAAATATTGAGAGTGACAATTCCGTGAAGGGAAAGATGATAAAAGAACATTTTTATTACAAACTTAAAGTTAGGAAATAATAATTATAAAATATCATATATGTTTTATATATATACACACACATATAATTTAAATCAGAATGTTTTATTTAAGTATTACAAGCATTTCCTTTAGATAGACCAGTATTACTGAAATGCCAGAAAACCTTAAAAATATAGTAAAAGCAAATAATGCAAGAAAAACAAAAGCCCCTAGAAGCTCTTGGGTTGGGATGGGGACTGTATAAATACTTCATGTTCTAAATACAAAGAAAATTAGAGATCTGGAAAAATTTAACTAGTTAATCAGGCATAGGGAATAAGAATTCATTTGACTCTGAAGCTAATAACCACCATCCTTATTACCTGAAATAACAGCGTTAGCTCTTTACAGAAAAAAATATCCTAACAATTTTCCTGGCATTAAGCATTATTTAATAGAACAGTGCTAAGACTCCTGAAAGCATATAATCTCAAGTTGTAAAGATAACCACCAGAAAAACTGAAAAATAGAAACATTTCAAATGAAAAAGACTAGAAATAATAGTTACTATATATAGTTAAAAAAAATCATCTGTGTAAAATCAAATAATATGATTTTTTTTAATTTTCTTAATACTTTGCATTTTAGCTGTTTTAAGAGATTTGCATTAAAGGAGTTATAAAATGAAGGATTTGGAGTAAAATTATATTGTCAGTCATGAATTTGGGGTTGGATTCATGATTTTATAATCAGTTAATGTTTTTTGATTCCTAACAATGCCTAGCATTGTTTATGATTAGGAAAAACAGCTAAGAAGCACTGGATCCCATTTGCTTTTTGATATTAACCATATGGCACCAGTAAATGATACTAAACTACTTCAAAGAAAAGTTGAAAGTACAAGTTTCCCTGTCCCTGCTGAGTTTGCTATTAGTTTTATGTCTTGAGTGTTCTGCCCTACAATATTTTGCTTTCTTGTTTTTTACTACTGTTTGGTTAGCAAAAAAGTCACAGGAAGTAATCTTAGATGTTACTCTGAAATGAAGTGGATAAAATAAATGGTTTCAAAAGTCGAGGACTATTCAATTCTTTGCTTTAGAAACGGTTGATAGACATGTTCAGTGGCCAAACATAAACACAAGCTCACAGACTCCTAAGTTACAATCAATTCAATTTGAGCTTTAGTCCTTCTAAAGAGATTATTTGATCATGAAATTGAACTGAACTTCTTAAAACCTTTCTTCCAGTTCACTAAAGCAGTGAAACACTTTGGGGAGGAGGCTGGCAAAATACAGCCAGATGAGTTCTTTGGCATTTTTGATCAGTTTCTTCAAGCTGTGTCAGAAGCCAAACAAGAGAATGAAAACATGAGGAAGAGGAAGGAAGAGGAAGAGCGCCGAGCTCGCATGGAAGCTCAGGTAAGAGGATGAATAATTAGCCAGTTCCACTTCCCGAAAGGTCTGTCTGCGGCTGTAACAGCTTGGTTTTGAAACAACGCTATCTGATTTGCTGGCAAGAAGGACACCAAAGTACTCTCTAGCATGCCACTGGGAGTTTAAATTGGTATACAATTTCTTTTGGGCAATTTGGCAGTCTCTATCCAAAGTGTAAAAAAAATATATCCACATCCTTTTATCTGGAATTCCATTTCTTAGAAATTATTCTAAAGAAACAATCATAAATGAGAACAGAGGTCTGTATAAATCCCAACTTGGAAACAGCCTCAATGTTTATCAACATGGCACAGTTCTAAATGATGTAATAGTCACTGAATAGAATATTCATGCAGTCCTTAGAAGTCACATCTTCAAGGAATATTTAATGTTGCAAGAAAGTTTGCAAAACAATTTCTGCATGAAATCTTTTTTTTTAAAATAAATGTTAATATGAAAATTAATAGTGGTGGGATATACCCCTGCAGAGTTTCACAATGGTTATCTCTTGGCAATTAGGATGGTATCTCGGTCCCCTTTGCTTATCTGAATTACCTAAATTTTCTATAACATATGCGTGTTATTTGGCTGTTAATAATAATTTCTGTGTGGCGTTCCAGGCATCCACAGTAGATAGAGGCTAAAACTTTGATGTATAAGGAGAATGATCTCACAACTATTTGATCTTTTTCTGCCATTGTGTTTGTTTCTGCATCACACATACTAAAATCTTTCTCTGCCATAAAAGAAACCAACATTTGGGGTTTATTTAATAGTGATAACTTTCTCGTTGCGTAATAGAAATGCAAATTGCCTCCTTCACTCTTTTCTTAACTGGAGGTCTACCTAGCTAATCAATGAGGTTCCAGTCACAAAGCAGTGGTCATTTTTCTTTTTTGTCCATTGCTTCTACAATGAGCCCTCATGTCCTGGTTACCCTTCTCTTGTGACTCAAGGGGGTGAGCAGCTAGAGATAGACTTGGCTTGGTGTGACGGATGCAGGGCCACACAACACAGAATTCATCTCTATTGAAACAAAACATTTTGACACTTCTCTCAAAATGTTGCATTTTATTTGCAGCTCAAAGAACAGCGTGAAAGGGAACGTAAAATGAGAAAAGCAAAAGAGAACAGTGAAGAAAGTGGAGAGTTTGATGACCTGGTTTCAGCTTTACGCTCCGGAGAGGTGTTTGACAAAGACCTCTCTAAACTGAAGAGGAATCGCAAACGCATTACCAACCAGATGACGGACAGCAGCCGAGAGAGACCCATCACAAAACTGAATTTCTAATCTCCCTTGAATCCCTTTTTTAGAAAGCTCATTTAGCAGCCCTTTGAAGGGACTAGAACTTTTCATTACACTGCCTTGCAATTTGAACAGTGGCAATTTCTTCTTTCATCCGTGTGTGAATGTGTGAATGTGTGTGTTTGTAAATGTATGTGTATATATATATTAAAAATGTATATAGAAGTCTGAATGTTGTCTGGAGACCTATATGTCCGATTCAAAAAAAAAAAAATAGTCTATGTTAATACTTGTGCTCAGAGGCCCTTTGTGTATGCATTCATATTGAGTGTGACTCATCTTCTTCCCCTGAACACCACTACTGTTCAGAAGCACAATACTATCTCCTGAAAGAGATGACGCAGACATTCCCTAGATTAAAAGAAAAACAAAAGCAAAAAAAAAAAAAGAAAAAGCTTGAGAAATATTTTATGGTTTCCAAGCTTGTTATGCTTTGAAATTATTTTCATTGGTGAAACTGATATTGGAAAAATATAGATTTAAAATAGTTTTTAATAGTTGACAATATGATGCTGGTGCATCATATCAATAATGGATAGAGGACCAGCTTAGCATTTCTGACATTGGTGTGGGGATGCATCTATAAATGTTTATTGAGAACATCTTGCACACAATCTGAATTACGTAGAATATCGATCAGAATTCTTTTCTATATGTAAACTTGGACATCAATTTTTTTTTCCCCTAATTTCAGCCAAGCACTCTTGATGATTTCTTTACATTGCTTTTGGAAAGAACACTATTTATCTAAATGCATTTCTATGCTCTTGTTAAAGAACAAGATTGCCAGAATGCATTTGTAGTTCTAACAATATAGATGTATAAGCTATAAAAATAAAATTTCCCACCCAAGACTTAAAAGGAGGAATTATCTGATGGGATACACATTATTAAAAAAAATTTTATGGGGTGCCTTTTTTTTTGTATTTTGTATTTTCTGTTTTGTAGGACAAGCTGCATCTTCTGTAAATATAGGTCTGGACTAAAGGACACTTAGTGAGTGCACAAAATACCAACACCACCAACAGAGATGCCAAGATCTATTTATCTCTAGCTATGTTTGAAGTGGTTTGCTGTTTATATGTTGTCATTTAAATTGTGTCAGTAAAGCTACCTGTAAAATTTCAGTCCAAAAGATGAAACTCTCAGGGAGAAATGAATAAAAACAATGAACATTAGAAAATAAAATATAAATGCTTACCATTAACCTACCAACTCTTAATATCCTTAAATTATATGATATATGAAGAGGACTGTTACTTTTTTGTTTTTGTTTTTGTTTTTTGCTTTATTTATTTTGTAGTGGGGGAAGAGAACTGAGTTTCTCTCTTTTCTTTCCATCATCCTGTTGTGGTCGGGTTTCCTGTGGAGAGAGTAGTTTGTCCTGTTGCACTAGAACATTATTTACACACAAAATTGAGTTTTTCAGTCAATTAACAGATATTTATTGGGCACATGCTATGTGCCAGGCATAGTAGGTCTACAATGGTAAGCAAGACAGAATCCCTGCCCCCAAGGAAGTTGCATTCTAGTGGGGAGATGAAGGGTAAACAGAATACCAATGTGTGCGCTGTACAGGAATTGTGCTATTTAAAAATAATTTGTATAAACTATAAAGCTTAGCACAGGTGGCCAGATCTCTGTGCTATGTGAAAGCTGTGAAATAGTGCTCTAAGAGTTGTCAAGAGCTGTGGTTTTACATTTTTCCCCTCATTGAAAACTTAGTGACTTCCCACACAGTACGTGGAAGTGAATGACTAGCAAACAGAAGTCATCAACACAGAGCAGAAGCTGTGCTGCCCCTGCCCCTAGTCACCCAGGTCTGCAAATCCATCATTAAAGGTGGAGATGGAGACTTTGCTCAAAAAAATCTTGGAGATGAGGAGTGGGATATGCTGATGGTTTTGTCTATTCCTTACTTAACTAAAGTGCCTCTATGTATATTCTTTTCTATTGATAGCAGGAGAAATTTGGTCTGGCTCAATTTTGGAACTGTATTTTGAAAATGGCTTTATTTTCCAGTTTAAGGAATGGACAAACAGATGGAGAGGCACATGAAGGAGCAAGTTTGTGCAGCGTGTCCCTCTTGCCCTTTGTAAGCATCCTCATTCTGCCATGGCCCTCCTGGTAGGCCTCCCTCGCCATTCCCGTCTTTTGGTTTCTTTCCCCAGAAGCTGTGTGCAGGTAATTCCATGTGCCATTGTTGAAGAAAACCTACTTTTTAGATTGGTGCTGGTGTAATTAGCCACTTTTTTCTCTTGGGTGTGTATTTTGAAGTTTTTTGTTTGTTTTTTTAAATTAATGCCAAAAAGAAAAAGCATTTAATTTGTAAACTTAATTATATGTCTTGTATCTTATTAGCTTAGTAGTTGGAACCATTTAGTCTTTAGGTGCAAGACTGTCGTTACAGTACCGAGAAAAAAAATGTTGTATGTTAGGAGACTGTACATTTTTTTTAAAATAGCAATATGCAATAAAGAGATGAATTCATTGAGTGTTTGTATTTACTTTCCATGAGTTATTAAAAACAACATTATCAAACTTCTTTGCTTGTCCCATCATTAAATTTGAACATTGCAAATTTACTAAATCAGGTTTCTAAAACTGTTTTCTAATGTGTCTGTACTGGACCATGAGGGGGATAATTAGTAGTTTTCTGTGAAGCAACATTCATCACATCTACAGACTTACCATATGCTACCTCTTTGTGTAACTCTTTATGACCTTTTCATGTAACAGTGTGTGTTATATAATTTCACTGCAGCGATACTCATGATATCATTCAACAGGAAGTAGAGAAAGTCTGTAGTTTCTAGATTCAAAACCTCTTTCAATTTGGAGCATTTGTTTTTAAAAAAAACATGATATTGGTGAACATGGAACATGTTTTACAAATTATCATTTGAACATTTGAGCTTCCTGTGGGCCCTCGTGGCTGCCCAGCCATCCTCAACCCAATTTGAGGTCAAGCTGGAAGCAGATTGTGACAGCGGTTGACAGGACCAGGCATACCACACATTAAACCTTCTGATCTTTGGAATGGATTTACGATGTTCTTGTAATTGCTAACTATCTTGTTTGTCATGCAGTCACTTAATACTGCCTGGTATCCAAAGGCTACTTTGTTCTCTGAGACTGGCATTCAGACAAAAGAGACCCTTCACATGTTAGACAAATTTTATATCCCATCCCACGAGCCCAATGGATTGCTGATGGTCACATTTGAGAGTGGAGCTACAGTCAGAACAACCTAGATCCTCATTTGTCCTTGGTGTATTGGCGGAAGTAGGGAAAAGTGAAACTTTTCCTTATTTACTTTTATGTCTTAGGTTCTCCCAAAAAAATCACCCCTGGGGAAAATGTGCTTCTGTCAGGGGATGATGCTATTTGATCCCAGCACTTTGCCTCTTTTTTGTAAACTAATATGGATTTATGTGATGCAAAAGCATAATTTTACTAAGCTAATTGGGCCCAGTCATTTAAACGATTTCTGGAAGGGAGAATTTTCTGGTTTGCTTTTTTTTTTTTTTAATACCACCTATTTCCTATCAAGTAGAAAACTTAAGAACTCCCAAGGTTTAGCAGCCTCCTGATACCAGTCATTCCGTTACTACTGGCTTCAAGATCCACTGGACCACATGTAGAGAGACTTAAAGTTGGGGTGCTGGGGCTTTTGCATTGGGGATTTTTATAGATCATTATTTTATTGTGTCTGGCACTTACTTTCTGTGTGGTCTTTAGATTGGTTTAGTTCTCTATCCCCGTTTGCATTATGAATTTGAACTCCACTAGAGTCTAAAACCCTGTTGTGTCCCTAACTAAAGGGATGACTTAAAAACTATAAACGCTTTAACTTGGAAGAAGTTTGCAACTCCTGGAGGAAGGAGTTCCTTGTTTGTAAGGATTTTAGTGTTTTCTACAGTGAAGACCAAACAGAATTGCTTGTCATCTATCATGTGGGGAAAACATCAGTTCTAACCTTTGGTCTCCTCCCTGCCTGGCCATTGTGTGCTGCAGTCAACTCCAGTATCCATGGCATCAAACAAACAACATGAGCACAGGATTGCTCACCAGAGGTTTTGGACAAAGGAGGGCCTTGATTTTTATCAAACCTCTATATGTGTTTTTCACGGGAAAGAGAGAGGCTCCTAAGTGTTATCTTTCTGTTATTTAAATACAGCATTTGTTCTTTGCTCCTTTGCCAATAGTTTCTTTTACCCAGAAGGAGAAGAAAGGAAACTTCTGTCCTGATCTCCATTTCATTTACGGCTATTACAGTTCTGTGGGAACATTGCTACAGTAAAGGAATCATCACAGCTTGCTGCACTGGTGAGCATCTCTTGTGACTGTCCTCATCCCCATTCCACACTCCCAAAGTAGAGGCACTCCCAATTTGGAACAGGTTTGGGGGCCACCCCAGTCAGTGGGGAGAGCAGATATGCACAATAAGGACATTATTGTGGAGCTGAGGGATGACTCGGGAAGGCAGGCATGGAGGAGAGGAGTTGTCTCTATTAGCTGCTTTAAAAAGCACCTAATATACACCAATCAACTTCCTTTGAGAAATTTTCCCAGTGTTTGACTTCCCCAATATATTCACATACGGGTATATCTCTAAAAACAAGCCCAATAGGGTAACTTCTCACTCTTCCTTGGACTTCCATTCAGAACACCACACTCTGAGACTTCAGTCTGGCCAGATTAACTGGTCAACAGGACCTTTCTGTTCATTCTTTCATTAGGGGCCCAGAATAAAAGGAAGGGTTTTATGTCAGCAAGTCATGCTGAGACAATTCAGATTATAAACCTCTAGGATGTCCAGGCTGCTGACATGAGCAACCAACAAGTGGACAGCCACTAGCAATTCTCTTACATAAGCCTTTTTGTAGAAGGCAATCCTCTCCTGCCCTGAATGAGATATTTGACCCTGCGGTGCAGCAGCTACTTTGGGACCTGTATTTATGACAGGTATGTTCACACTGGGTGCTTGGCCTCTGCGTGTCTACTGGGGCCCTGCTAGAAGCAGGGCTGTGCGGGGCCTGCCTCACCGGGTGGTTGCTCAAGGATGAATGCAAGGGGGAAGGGGCCTCAACCACGGGATTGGAGAAACCATGCTTCTAGGACAAATGGCATTGACTTTCTCTCACATGGGGCCAAGGTGACACTGATCCATCCCAACACTACCCCCTGTAGTCATTTCCGTGCTCCCCACAGGACACTGCTCCCAATTTCTCTTGCTCCCATTTGTAAGTGACATCCTAGGCCCTAAAGACTGAGTTCTACTTTGCTCTGTTGCCCTCAGATGTGAGCTGTGGCCCAAGGCAAGTCTCCTAAACACCTTTGAAGTAAAGGTGTTTCTTTACTTCCCTTCTGGAAGCTGAGCAGAGCAGTTCTAAGACTTCCCATTGCAGGATGCCACAGACCCATCTCTGAAACTTCCAGTCCCAGGGTGATGAGGCATCACTACAACCAGTTTACTAACAGTTGAAAAAAACTTCCAACTGCCCTGTTTATCACCTACATGGCAACTGGAAAGCAGCACAGGTGGAATAAGGGTGTCCCATCCAATGGTGTGTGACGTCTGTCTTTATAGGTGAAGCACCTTTCGCCCACTCAGTGTCGTCTTCTCTGCAAAATGACTATTCAGTTTCAACACACCCCACATTTACCAGTTGACCTGAGCATTTTACTGTAGGCCAGGGACCTCCTACCTCCTCCCGTGATCAATAAGGCTTCCAATTTCCTATTTTTCCCAGTGGTTTATAATTTATATACTTATTTTTGTGTTCAAATTGTTCCAGATGTGACCAGGGGAGGCCCTCAGATTTGCTCCTCCGACCCTGCCTCATGTTCCATGTTTAAAGCATTTCCTAACTTTCTGGTATAACAA